AACTTTAAGCATCAGTTGTCAGAGCACCTTACCAATCACTGCACCTGTACACAGCCCATCTGAAAGTAGCCCACCCAACTACCTCATCTCCATATTGTTATTTATTTTGCTCATTTGCACTCCAGTATCTCTATTTGCACATCATCTCTTGCACATCTATCATTTCAGTGTTAATACTAATTGTAATTATTTTGCACTATGGCCTATTTATTGCCTTACCTCCATAACTTGCTACATTTGCACACACTGTATATATATTTTCTGTTGTTTTTTTGACTTTATGTTTTGTTTTACCCCATATATAACTCTGTGTTGTTGTTTTTATCGCACTGCTTTGCTTTATCTTGGCCAGGTCGCAGTTGTAAATGAGAACTTGTTCTCAACTGGCTTACCTGGTTAAATAAAGGTGAAATAAAAATAAATGAATACGTTTGTAGGCCAAACCGTTTTGGACGCTACAGACTATTTTGTGAGAAGACTGAGTTTCGGGATGTCTCATGGTCTGACAAACACTGCTCTAGCTCTGTCACCTTTCACCGCAGATGCGGAAGTGCGACATAGGCAGATGCAGTGGATTGAGGCGCATCCAATGCCAAAAAACATATCTCTAGCTTAAACTGACATTTGTATGGGGATTTTTTATTATGCTAATTAGATATCCGTGGGGGCGCGGACGTCGACCTCAGGGTTTAAAAAATTAAAAACGCAGTCCCCCTCGCAAGAGCTTAAATAAAAAAAAGTACTATATTAAATGCCAAATGAAGTAACACGGTTGACGATTTCATCTTAAATCAGCCATAAATCCGCTTGTGACAGGGGGAATAGCAGCTTGTTGTGTGCAATAGGGAGGGGCAATTGAATGCCAGCTTCACAATTTTTTTTTAGATTGTTAAAAAATTTCTAGCCTGTCTATCAATGGGTAACAGGATTAACATGTTATGCTCGACCCGTTCAGTTTTCCACCACAAAACACAAGAAAATGGCCAAAAAGATAGAACCTGCTCACCTGCTTTTACAATATGATTTGACTATTAGAATTTCTTTAGATTTCTATTTATTTTTTATAAATAGTTTTATCATAGTAGCCCTTTCCTGCAGTCAATTACCAAATGCACCCTCTTTGGCCTCATGGGTGGAATGTTACTATGCTGATCAAAAATATCATGCAACATGCAACTATTTCAAAGATTTTGCTGAGTTACAGTTCATTTAAGGAAATCAGTCAGTTGAAATAGATTTGTTAGGCCCTAATCTATGGATTTCACATCACTGGGCAGGGGCGCAGCCATGGGTGAGCCTGGGAGGGCATAGGCCCAACCACTTGGGAGGCAGGCCGACCCACTGGGGAGCCTGGCCCAGCCAATCAGAATGAGTATTTTATTACAGACAGAAAAACACCTCCGGACCCCCCACCCCCCTTCCCCTATGACGATCCCGCAGGTGAAGAAGCCGGATGTGGAGGTCCTGGGCTGGCGTGGTTACACGTGGTCTGCAGTTGTGAGGCCAGTTGGACGTACTGCCAAATTCTCTAAAATGACTTGGAGGAGGTTTTTGGTAGAGAAATTAACATTTAATTATCTGGCAACAGCTCTGGTGGACATTCCTGCAATCAGAATGCCAATTGCATGCTCCCTCAAAACTGTTGCATTGTTTTGTGACAAAACTGCACATTTTAGAGTGGCCTTTTCTTGTCCCCAGCACAAGGTGAACCTGTGTAATGATCACGCTGTTTAATCAGCTTATTGATATGCCACACCTGTCAGGTGGATATATTATCTTGACAAAAGAGAAAATGCTCAATAACAGGGACGTAAACAAATGTGTGCACAAAATTGTAGAGAAATAATATGTTTGTACTTATGGAACATTTCTGGGATATTTTATTTCAGCTCATGAAACATGGGACCAGCACTTTACATGTTGCATTTATATTTTTGTTCAGGTGTAATTAAAAAAAGAGTAATAATTAATAAAATAATAATAATTAACGACAAAAATCTGGTGTTTCTATGTCAAACAGTTTGGTTATATTTCATTCTTCTGTGATAAATATGAAGTGTAATATTGGGATGCAAACTCAAAATTGAATACATTTCAACTCTATATTTGACATGGTACAGGTGTCTTCTTTTTTTTAAGCCCATAAGCATGTGTGTGAGATGTATACTTTTTTTTCAAAGTAGATTTGTTTAAGACTACCAAGAATCACTCTATGTGACCCTGATTTAGCCCACTGCTGTAAAAGGTTAAAACGAGAGTTTAGTTCACGTAACTTTAAAATGAGGGACAGGTTGTTGTTTTTTTGCCTTAAAATGAATCACTAATCACATTAAATAAATAATAATCTTCAGAAATGACATTGTCAAAGCAACAAAATAACTAAGCCTTTAAAATGGTGGTGAAAACATGGAGAAATGTTGGGGTTAAGTGGATTAAAATCTTCCTAGAAGTCACAGAGGGTGCACAGAGGGACATGTCAATATTCAAAATGTTGGCACTTTAGCAAATATTTATTCATATTAAAAATAAGATTTATAAAATGTTCCATATGGTCAATATTAAAGGGAACAATTTCTACTTATAATATTAAAGGGACTCATGATCAGAGATGAGGGGTGGCATCGGGCACACATCGAAATATAGTCAACAACTAATTCTAAAACACTGAGAAATATGGACATTTCATCGATTAGACATGACCCTCCCCTGGACTAAATTAAGAAATACTAAACCTTCCCCCAGACTGAAATTGAAAAAGCATGACCCTCCCTCAAATTCCTCCATGTACCCCATTCTGTAAATTCTGAAAGGTCCCCAAGAATAGGAACACTTTGCAATGTGAAGCCAGTATGATGAAACCACATTAAAATGCCTCTCCAGTTTAATTTAATTGGAGCCCAGTAAATCGTGATTTCCTGCCAGGGTCAGACCCCCCTTTGCCTCCAGAACAGCCTGAATTCTTTGGGGGATGGATTCTACAAGGCGTCGGAAACGTTCGTTGCTCAATTGGTATCAAGGGACCTAACGTGTGCCAGGAAAACCTTCCCCACACCAGCACACCACCGCCACCAGCCTGTGCCATTGACAACAGGCAGGATGGATCCATGGACTGTTTATGGCAAATCTTGACTCTGCCATCAGCATGATGCAACAGGAATTGGGATTCGTCGGACCAGGCAATGTTTTTCCAATCCTCAAATGTCCAGTGTTGGTGATCGCGTGCCCACTGGAGCCGCTTCTTCTTGCACCGTTCTCGGTAAACCCTAGACACTGTCGTGCATGAAAAGCCCAGGAGGGCGGCCGTTTCTGAGATACTGGAAAAGGCACGCCTGGCACCGACAATCATACCATGCTCAAAGTCGCTTAGGTCACTCGTTTTGCCCATTCTAACGTTCAATCGAACAGTAACTGAATACCTCGATGCCTGTCTGCCTGCTTTATATAGCAAGTCACGGCCACGTGACTCACTGTCTGTAGGAGAGATCAATTTTTGTGAACAGGGTGGTGTACCTAATAAACTGTATACTGTATGTTTGAATGTGAGTGCATCGTGTGTGTGTGTACACATGAGTGTGTGTCCATTCATCCATCCATGTGTGCGTGTGTATGTGTGTGTGTATGTACTGTATGACACGTGTGTGTGTTCATGCTTTGAGTAGTGAATGTGTGTATGCTTCTTCTTCTATCTCCGGGGAATCACTCTCGGATGCAAATGGAGGTTCAGGACATGTGGCTTAAATAAGTAATAGCTCTGTGACTGTTTTGAACAAAAGCCAAGCGCACTACTCTGCTTTCACCACTGAACACCCGGTGGCAGTTGGGAGAGCGTGTGACGATGATCTTTCTATTGCTGCCACTGCTCCTTTGCTGTTTGTCTCTCTGCAGATCAATACAGCCAGCCAGCAAGTCAATAGAGAGCCCTGCTTCAATAGAATAGCAGAATAATCATCCAGTTTACACTGTATGGTATTATTTATAGAGGCAGTAATTATGCTCCACTGCACAGATAGTCTGGTGAGTATGGAAATAGGAAGAGGGAAATAAGATAAAGATGTGAGGTGGCGAGAGAGAGAGAGAGAGAGAGAGAGAGAGAGAGAGAGATAGAGAGTGAGAGAGAGAGACAGATATATATATATATATATATATATATATATATACAGAGAGAGAGAGAGCGAGATAGAGAGAGAGAGACAGAGAGATATAGAGAGATATATAGAGAGATAGAGAGAGAGAGTGATCTCTTATCTATCTTATAGAGAGGAGGAGAGAGATAGAGAGAGAGCGCAGCGTCCCGCGCTGACGCGGAGAGAGGAGGCCCAGATCGGCGAGCGATAGAAGAGCGCTCTCGCGCGTCAGCGCGCGAGGAGCGCGAGCTCCTCGTCTCGGCTCGCTGTCTCTCGCTCTCGCTCCTCTCTCTCTCTGCTCGCTCCGCTCTCCGCGTCCCGCTCTCCGCTCCTCTCCCCTCGCTCCTCTCTCCTCCGTCTCCTCTCTCTTCTCGCCTCCCCCTCTCTCCCGCCTTCTCCCTCTCCGCTCTCGCTCTCTCTGCTCTCCTTCTCTCTCTCGCCTCCCGCTCTCTCTCTGCTCTCTCTCTCTCTCTCTCTCGCTCTCTCTCCTCTCTCTCTCTCTCTCTCTCTCTCTCTCTCTCTCTCTCTCTCTCTCTCCCGCTCCCTCTCTCTCTCTCTCTCTCTCTCTCTCCTCGTCCATCTGCCTTCTCTCTCTCTCGCTCTCTCTCTCTCTCTCCTCTACGCTCTCCTGCTCCGCTCTCTCTCTCTCTCTCTCTCTCTCATCTAGGAGGAGAGAGAGAGAGAGGAGGCTGAGAATAATAAAGGAGTAGCCAACAATATCACGTATGAGAGAAGGTGTAAATAATGAAATGAGCAGTCTAGGTGTGTTTGCCCCAATTTGGTATTGTCTCAGGAAATTATTATCCCATAATGAAAGATAATAAAACAAGACATAAACAAACAAGTACTTTGGATTTAAACAATATTTTATTTATTTCAGTTCAGTTGTACTGTTTATAAAATAAACAGTCTGCTTTGATGCCAACATATATTTGCATTTCTGTGTGAACGTGTGTGCCAGTGTGTCAACTCTAATTCTTGGATAAATGTGTGTGATATGTGAATTTTTATTTGTGTGCGGTTATGTTTTTAGTACCAATGAATGTGTGTCTGGATGTTAGTAAGGCAACATGCAGTCTCGTTTCAGATGGCTTCAAACGCCAAACACTGTAATGGTTTAAAAGACCTGTTTTAGCCACCGAGAGCAGACAGACAGGGGAGGGGCCAGGGCACATTGTTGAGTGACAGGAGGTGTGGCTTGTATGACAGAACAGTGAAAGCATGATGAAGGGGTGGAGAGATTTGATTCCTCGGAGACCATATGTATGGGATATCAAGAAGAGGAGGCTGGTGGGAGGCGGTATAGGAGGATCATTGTAATGGCTGGAATGGAATAAATACTGAATCTGTGGGAACCTTATACTTTATCTTTAATCTGATCACATACAAAAACGCCTCAACAGATCTTATTTATTGCCTTTCATTGCAACTAGTCAAACAAATTATAGATAAAGGCCATTGCAAACTCCTGATGTAACTTTTCTCTCTTTGATAACTCTATAATTGCAGACCCAGGTTTGGGTGGAGAGACAGCAGGAAACACCACAGACTGTATCTGTTTATCAGATACATAGTTCCCATAGTACCCTGCATGTACTGCAGCCCCGTTGCAGGTGTGAGACTGGGTCATGTGATGGGTCATGTGAGTATGGGGAGTAAACAGACAATATGTCATACTGTTAACCCAGATCTCCACTTTCACTCTGACCCTGAACCCTGATCTGTCATAATAAGGGATAGGGGATGTCAGGCATTAAGACACAAGGGGTTAAATATACACAGGCTTCAAACACATCTTAATCAACAAACCTGACCAAAGCATACACTGATATAAGTACATCTACAGTATAAGTACAGGTGTTGCGTTAGCTTACAGCGTGCACACTACCAGTAAGTCTCACATTGCCGAACCTCTATGGGAGGAAGAAAATTATTGTTCTGCAAAGTCTTTCTCAATGTCGTGGTGTGTATGCGTGTGTGTACTGTATGTGTGGTAAGGTGATCTTGAGTGATGGGCACAGGGGATGGGGGGTGAGGATGGTCACAGTGGTAAGGTGGGTAAATGTCGGGGATGAGGTATATGGACAGTAAAGGCATTAGGGTAGGAATGTGTAGAGTGTGTATGGTGAGGGTTGTTGTGGCTGGGGAGGATTTTCCCATTTGTTTTTGTTTCCATCGAGTCACACAAAGAAAGCATCAGAGAGGAGACACTGGGAGCGGTAGTGTTCCCCAGGGCCCATGAGGTGGCGATGGGAGACGCAGGACAAGCAGCAGCTAAAACAGACGAGGGAGGCCGCTGCTGATCACTGAGGTCAGGACCAACTCTCCTGAGATTGAGAGGAGAGGGAAAGAAAAATTGTAATATTGTGAGAGAAGCAGAAGTCACAGATTTCTATTGCAGATGGTATTCATCAAAACGGACTAGCCAACTTGTCTGTGTTGGCACAGTAGTGGATTATCTGGCAGCTTTGGATGACACCCTCATTTTCGGTCCCCATGAATTAAAAGGTGTGCTTTCAATTTATGAGAGCATGTAGTTCCTGCATTAAGATATGGATGAATGATACCCTGGTGTAACAAATCCTCTAGCTCACATCTAGCCCCATACCTGTCACTGTATGGCCATTATGACTGTGTGAGTCTGTGTGCTAGGGCTTTTTGCCATGGCCCTTAAGTTAAACTCTTTACCTTTACATGTTAGTAGATCGCCTGCTGTTATTCGGACACTACATCAAATGTCACAGCAATTTTAGGACCCCTTCAAGCACATCAAATGAACATATCGCTATGATGCCACCTTGCTCCCTGACTATACATAAACACTTCCACATTTTGTTACGTTACAGCCTTATTCTAAAATTGATTATTTTTATATTATTTTCATAAATCTACACACAATAACCCATAATGACAAAGCGAAAACAGGTTTTTATAATTTTTTGCAAATGTTTAAAAAAACAAAAACAGAAATACCTTATTTACATAGTTATTCAGACCCTTTGCTATGAGACTAGACATTGAGCTCAGGTGCATCCTGTTTCTATTGATTGGCGTCCACCTGTGGTAAATTCAATTAATTGGATATGATTTGGAAAGGCACACACCTGTCTATATAAGGTCCCACAGTTGACAGTGCATTTCAGAGCAAAAACCAAGCCATGAGGTCGAAGGAATTGTCCGTAGAGCTCCGAGACAGGATTGTGTCGAGGCACAGATCTGGGGAAGGGTACCAAAAAATGTCTGCAGCATTGAAGGGAGAGCGATCTTTGATGAAAACCTGCTCCAGAGCGCTCAGGACCTCAGACTAGGGCGAGGGTTCACCTTCCAACAGGACAACGACCCTAAGCACACAGCCAAGACAACACAGGAGTGGCTTTGGGACAAGTCTCTGAATGTCCCTGAGTAGCCCAGCCAGAGCCCAGACTTGAACCCGATCGAGAGACCTGAAAATAGCTGTGCAGCGACGCTCCCCATCCAACCTGACAGAGCTTGAGAGGATCTGCAGAGAAGAATGGGAGAAACTCCCCAAATACAGGTGTGCCAAGCTTGTAGCGTCATACCCAAGAATACTCCAGGCTGTAATCGCTGCCAAAGGTGCTTCAACAATGTACTGAGTAAAGGGTCTGAATACTTACGTAAATGTGATATTTCAGTTTTTGCTTTGTCATTATGGGGTATTGTGTGTAGATTGATGAGGGGGGAAAAACAATTTAATCAATTTTAGAATAAGGCTGTAACGTAACAAAATGTGGAAAAAGCTAAGGGGTCTGAATACTTTCCGAATGCACTGTATATGTCAACACGCACACAAACACACGGAAGCACGCACACACAGAACCCACCCCTCTATAGAAGTACAAACACACACTCTTCTACTGTCCTGCCTGTCCGGCCTGCTCAGCTCCCTGTGAGAAGTCACCCTGTGTGGCACAAACAAAGAAAGCGGATTAGCAAGAGAATGAAAAGATTACCATCTCTACTACTACTACTACTTCTGCAGCCGCCTGTTGCTGCTACAGAGGAGGATGGTGATGACAACTTCCTCTGACGCAATCTCCAGCTGAGCATGTGAGTAATGGACTTGGAGGAGGGTTAAGCTTGAGAGAAATGTAGATGTTAGTGTATTCAAACCACGGTTCTGGTTAATCGACATGCACAGGTAACTCTTTAGTAGGGTAGTTATGGCTTCAATGGCAGACAATGAATTGAGATATCAGGGGCTCAGGCACTCAGGAGAAAAGATCCTTGATAGTTTCCTCATTAATTGATTAATGCCCAACAATTACCACTGCAATCATCTGTATTAGGATAGAAATTATAATTATGACTCCCGGCATGGAATTATGATATTAGTTTGGTGAATGGTCTGAAGTTTGATTATCAAGTTTGATTATGATTATTCATGATTCCTTGATTTGGTTATAGAAATATTAATATGATCAACCTTATTGCTGTGGGAATAATTATCACCAATATAATTATTCTTATGATTATAATTGTGGGTAATAATTCTAGCAAGAAGTTGCTACAATAATGTCCTTACCACATACTATAACAGTGACTGAAATTGTGATAATGAGGATGATTGTGCCATATCATGGTCTGACAGTCTACAGTTGTTTACTTTGACCTTACCTCTACTGTACTCTCTCCTACAAAAGGCTTTTTAGTGCCTTTGAAAAGGATCATATAATAGAGCCGGGAGAGAGAGATGGAGAGATAGAAGGAGATTGAAAAAGGAAGCGGGTTGATTGCCTGCTGCGGTGAGGAGCGATGGAGAGATTGTTAGGGCTGTGGATTTAATTACAGATGGATCTTCTTGCTTTATATTACAAAGAGCCTGAGAGAAGAAATGGCACACAAATGTGCACACACACACGCACACCGGCATACATACACGTACACCCACGCATGCCTGCATGTTCACCCACACACACAAACAAAAACAAATAACATATTTAGTGGAATTAAGTAATGCTATCATTATGCTGCTAACAAACAAAGACCTTGTCCCAGAGTACACTCTATCTGTCCTGCAGCCATAGAGCCCAACCTGCTGGGTCAGAGGCAGGAGAAGCATGTTAATATAGCGGGGACACAGCCATCTTTACCGCATGACAAATGACCACAACACTATACTGGAGGGCAGCTTTTAAGTTAACCTTCATCAATTTAATATTTGAAAGGTATCTATACTCTACCTTTAAATTCGTTGCATTATTTCATTTATATGCACACTTTATTTTCAATGGTCTGTATTCCTTTGAATTCATTGTATGATTTGGGATTGGGGGCTTGTGTTCTGGCAAAAAAAAAACTCAATGGGGCCGATTCAGATTTAGGAAATGTACTCCTTTCCTACGCACTCCTTTCCTACACACTTCTCAGTATTTGATATTCAGACTTGAGTGGCTACCTTGCGCGCTCTGAATACATTTAATTCAACCACTAAAAACCCTCTCACTTGCTGGCCAACAGAGTTTCTCATCGAGTTTTCATTCAGTAGGGTTTTCAGTACATTCATCTTAAGCCATCCCTTTAAATATGATGTACCTTTAAGTTAGAATTATTTTGACACTCACTAGAATATATAGAGAGAAAGGGTTCAGAATATTAGATATCAATGCTAGAAAGCCATCTAAGTATATACATATTCGTCTCCGTTTCAGCACCAATTGGTAGATAAAAGAATACTCTGATTTTGTAGATTATTTAGGTTTAGGAAATGATTTATGAATCATAAAAAACAGGTTTGGAGAGCCTTTACACACGAAAGAAAGAAAACTGTGGTTTGATTCATTCTGAAAATGTCCACATTCAGTTCTTCAACCCATGGTAATGTTGGTAAATTAGTGTACATAGAATTCTAACAGGGAGAATAGTGTAGAATAGTAGGCTATACACTCGTCTATTGCCTGCACTAACCATGGAACTGTGTGATGATGACAAGGTCAAGTATTTATACCCTGATGAAGACAGCTTGTCTGTCGAAACGTTGGTTATTAAGATATTAAATTATTGCATCTGAGCTCCTAGAGTGTGCGGCTTTCCTTTTCTTTTTGAAGGTCAAGTATTTCACCATGCATCGGGTTCAAACTGCTATGGCTTGGTCTGTGCGCCGCTCCATAACGACTTAACTAACCTACATGTCTTTTTTTATACTATCAACTGTTACTAATGATCCTCAGCAACAACCACACGGCCATGATGGCGTTTACAGGGGAAACAAATGAAGTTAAACGAAACAATGTAATTAAATGGAATGATAAAGTAGTCTATACCAACTGAAGGGAACTAACAGTAAATTGGCAGTTGAATACGTGTGGTTATTAGGCCTACTGATGGTCGATACTGATAGTGGCTAATATTTAACATGATAATTAAGACATTTGAGAGTGCCCATCCCTGCAAGGTAGAAGGCCGTACAATTTGAATTCTGCATAATTGCACAGCATTTCTTAAACTTTACTGTGGGAAAGTTAATATGTTGATATGCTTCAGTTTGCTGCCATATGACAAGTGTCATTTGTATTTACTATTCCCTTATCCAAACACATTACTCATTTACCTAGCTCTTATCAATAGCTCTTATCAAGTTGTAAATTATAGTGCACGTAGAAGGGTGTTATTTCTATCGTAAAAAAAGAAAGTAGATGCTTTTTCCACTTGGAACCGGTAGGTTCGCTAGACCTTATTCATGGTTTCCTCGCGCGTAAAGGTGGTGGAATTATTAGGGAATTAAGTCAAGGTCAGAATATGGTGTATCTGCAGCTACACCTTCATTTATTTGATCTCCATCCCAAACAAATAGCGGGTCAATAGCATGCTATTCTCATTCTTAAGTTCAAGGTCAGAATACGCATAGAGAGAAAAGTGCATAAAAAGGAATTACGTTTCATTTACGCATGCTTCACTTGGGTTGGAATTCTCCCCAGTGTGAACATACATTCACAGCTTGAGGAAGTATTTGCTAATTTGGAGCTGAGCAGTCGCACATCCATGTGTCCCCCTTCAAACCAACCAGCACCCAAGCACTACTGTAGTCTACCAGTCAGCATCCAAGTTGACTGCTAATTACTGCAAATAAAGTCATGGTGCTTCAATCATAAGAAGGCAATAAAGGCAGCAAGCATCATGCAGTGCATTCGTTCATTCATTCTACTAAACTCCACCACACACCCCTTCCAAACGAAAACCAGCCACCTCATGCTCAGCCTTTACAGCTACGGCTTCTTCCTGTCCCTGTTCCTGCCAGACACCCCAGTTATGGGTGGAAAGAGAAGAAACAATACAAGTTACCAACAACACTCACATACAGATATTCACAGACACGAAAGGTCCCAGTAAGCTTTGATACTTTTACTCAGCATTCCTTATAACTGACGCTAAAGTTGACTTCGAAAAAATTAGTGTTTTTGACCAGGATAAGATTGCTGAAGGAAGGACATGTTGAAGACTCCTCTTCTGGAATCCCAAGGCTGATCTCAAGTATGTTATAACCAGGGTTGCAAAGGGGAGGGTATAATACTGGAAACTTTTGAAGTTTACCAATAAACTACCAGAATTTGGTAACTTTCAAGGAATATTGAATTTTATCAGATGACATCTAGTGGCCTTTTTGGGTACTTCAGGGCATTTCGTAAGTAACCATCTGTCTTATAAAACCATACCAAATGTAACATATCATACTAATTTGAAAGTCCCTGGATTTATGTTTACTATGTTACATCTAGTCTATGAGACCAGGCTGTGGGGCCAAACTGGTGAGAGTTGTGAAAAAATACAATAGTTGGAAAAGTTATAATACAACATAAAGTTGTAGAGTTAATTGAAAATAATGGCATTGTTGATTAGATGCTTTTTTCATTCATTAGGCTATTTTCTCTTGAACCCTATGGTCTATCCCCTAGAAACTCATGGACAATATGGACACAGATATATATATAATAAAATAAAGAATACTATAAACGAATACATTTAGTTATTCAAGTATAAATTACCAAGTTACCATACATGACCATAGATTACCTGTTAATTACCGAAGTTTCCGGTAACATTGGTAAATTACCGGTAGCTTTGCAACCCTAGTTATAACTGTATATGGCTCTAATTCAACCACCTCCAAGCGACCAGCCCACAATTCCCTGTAGAGGAAAGGAGTTTGTCATCTTCACAATATGAAAAGACAAGATGTGACTCACCTGGTTCACCAATCCAGAGTTCACCGCCACATTCTCCAACCCCTCCACTGTTTGCTGAGACAGCTCATTGGCCCCGGAAACCGTTGCGTCCCCGACAATATTGGCCTGGTCAGTCGTTCTCTGGGCCACTGGGAAAAGGGGACAGGGAGTTGTCGTACTTTGTCTTTGGACCAATGTTTCACCTCAGAATATGGTTTGTGAAAAAACCTCAGAGTCTGACCCCTGTATAGTCATGAAATGTAATGCAGTGTATTTTCAGTGGGTAGTGTTGCGCTTACCTGTGTTCACACCTGCTACCATCCCGTCCTTTGTCTTGTTCCCTGTAAAAGAGAGAAACATCCTGCTTAAGAAGAGGTAGATGATTTATGTTTAAATAGCATTTCTCAAACTCAAAGCGCTTAACATTGGATGGGGGTAACTCGCCCCTTCCACTATCAATGCATAGCATGCAGCTTCAAAATCATATGGCAACATGGAATAGCTCAGTAAGGACACCAAGTTTTGTACAATCTACTGTACACTCCCCTACCAATTTATTTGGATAGTGAAGCTAACATTTTAAATTTGGCTCTATACTCCAGCATTTTGGATTTTAGATGTTTCATGTGAGACAAGAGTACAGAATGTCACCTTTTATTTGAGGGTAATTTCATACAATACACAATGTTTAGTATTTGGTCCCATATTCCTAGCACCCAATGACTACGTCAAGCTTGTGACTCTGCAAACTTGTTGGATGCATTTGCTGTTTGTTTTGGTTGTGTTTCAGATTATGTTGTGCCCAATAGAAATGAATGGTAAATAACGTATTGTGTCATTTTGGAGTAACTTTTATTGTAAATAAGAATAGAATAGGTTTCTAAACACTTCTACGTTAAAGTGGATGCTACCATGATTATGGGTAATCATGACTGAATCATGAATAATGATGAGTGGCACAAAGATCATACCCCCAAGACATGCTAACCTCTCACCATTACCAATAACAGGGGAGGTTAGCATTTTTTGGCGTATGATATTTATGCCTCTGTAATTTTCTTACTCATCATTATTCATATAAACAAAACATTATTCATAAAAACAAACTGCAAATGCATCCAACAAGTTTGTTGAGTCACAAGCTTGATGTAATCATTGCGTGCTAGGAATTAATACAAATATAAGTGAATCCGCCAACTACTTAAAACACCTTCAAATGGAGGGGACTAGATACATAAAGTGCTTTCATTTCTAAACGATAAAACAGATATGTATGAAAATACCCTCAAATAAAAGGTGTCATTCTGTACTGCCGACTCATGAAAAATGATATCTCATATCCAAAATGCTGGAGTACAGAGCTAAATTAAAAGTTTTACCTTTACTGTCCAAATAAATATGTAGGGGAGTGTATAACCCAGATCAACATCTCCAGGCTTCCCTAACACTTCAATACTTAATGAATTGGGCACATAGAAACAGTCTCCCTCTCTCATGGTTATTTTATAGGGCCAGATCCTTGGTGTCTGTTTTAAGACCAATGGGTTCTGCTCAGCTGGTCCAGTACTATCTGTTCTCTCCCAGTCTCTCTGGGCCCTTTGGAGCTCAGCCCATCTCTGCCTCACAAAGACTCCTTGAGGAAAGAAAAGGTCAGTCATTCCTCCAGCCAAAGAACTGTATGGGTCGAGACCTGCTGGCCAGCCAAACCCACTCAACGTCCTCAATACAACTGGCATGGAGCATTGGAGTGGATTTCTCTCTCTCCCCCTCTCTCCTTCCCTCACTCCCTCCCTTCCTCCCACTCAAATCACCAACACAACAAGCCGTTGCTCTGTTTCCCCTTCTGACCCTTTGAGCCGGGAGACATGTCTGAAAGTCACTCCCAGTCCCCACACACAAACACATTTCTCTTGTCAAGCGTGTCATTGTTATTGTACACCCTACACGACAATGGGCTAATTTAGTACTGGGGACATGGACATTTCCATGGGCTAAAGTCCTACTGTCCTATGTAGAACACAGACAGACACAGGAGCCAGGCTATTGTACTGTCAATGCTGTAATCAATAGAGAGGAGGTAATATCACCAAGCAACCATCAATGTTGTAACATGGTCAGTTTTGTGAGGAATCTAGCAATCTGTGGTTACAAATACTTCCCCTGCAGCTGAGATGGTAGATGCTGATACTATAATACATGACTACACAGCCACAAAATATAATGCTAGCGTGATTATAAGCAAAGATAACAACTGAAATACAGGACGTCATTGTCTCATAAGAATGTGATAGCATCTTTGATTTTGTATGTAGTAATCGCTGCTCCCAGAACCAAATTTCACGTGCACGCTGGCAAGCTAATTGTTTAGTCTGTCACGAGAGATATATTTAGTATCACATGAACGCAACACTGCACAACAATTACATGTTTAGGGTGTTCATTTGAGGTGGGTTCCATTGCATCTCTCTCTCAATTCAATTTAAATTCAATTCAATTTCAATTTAAAGGCTTTATTGGCATGGGAAACGTATGTTAACATTGCCAAAGCAATTTAAGTAGATAGTAAACAAAAGTGAAATACATAATAAATATTAACAGTAAACATTACACTTAGAAGTTTCAAAAGAATAAAGACATTTCAAATGTCATATTATGTATATATACAGTGTTGTAACAATGTGCAAATAAATAAACATAAACATGGATTGTATTTACGATGGTGTTTGTTCTTCACTGATTGCCCTTTTCTTGTGGCAAGAAGACACAAAACTTGCTGCTGTGATGGCACACTGTAGTATTTCACCCAGTAGATAAGGGAGTTTATCAAAATTGGGTTTGTTTCGAATTCTTTGTGGATCTGTGTAATCTGAGGGAAATTTGTGTCTCTAATATGGTCATACATTTGGCAGGAGGTTAGGAAGTGCAGCTCAGTTTCCACCTCATTTTGTGGGCAGTGTGCCCATAGCCTGTCTTCTCTTGAGAGCCAGGTCTGCCTAAGGTGGCCTTTCTCAATAGCAACGCTATGCTCACTGAGTCTGTACATAGTCAAAGCTTTCCTTAAGTTTGGGTCAGTCACAGTGGTCAGGTATTCTGAAACTGTGTACTCTCTGTTTAGGGCCAAATAGCATTCTAGTTCTAGCATGCTCTGTTTTTTTTGTTAATTCTTTCCAATGTGTCAAGTAATTCTCTTTTTGTTTTCTCATGATTTGGTTGGGTCTAATAATAATAATAATAATAATGTGCCATTTAGCAGACGCTTTTATCCAAAGCGACTTACAGTCATGCGTGCATACATTTTTGTGTATGGGTGGTCCCGGGGATCGAACCCACTACCTTGGCGTTACAAGCGCCGTGCTCTACCAGTTGAGCTACAGAGGTCTAATTGTGTTGTTGTCCTGGGGCTCTGTGGGGTCTGTTTCTCTCTCTCTGATTAATTTACACCGTCGTAGTCTAGAGTTTCCTGACATCCTACTATGATAAGATGGTACTTATGTCAGAGACAGAAGAGGAAGCGAGACCAGAGAGAGAGGGAGAGAGAACAAAGTGGCTAAATGAATGTGGTGCTGAATGGACAGCGGCACAATCCAGACACTATGTGTGTGCATACATACGAAGGTAACTCTGTGACCTCTCTTCTGTGATTGTGGGAGACAGCCTATACTCTGGGATAAAGCTTTTACCTCCCTCCCTCCCTCCCTCCCTCCCTCTATCCATCCATCCATCCTCTCTGCTCACCATCCTGTAGCACTGGGCCTTGTGACTGTCTGCCACCCACCCAGGAGCAGCTGAGCATCGGGCACAAACATACACATATACACACTAGGGATTAGCGCTCAGTGAGAGGCTGTGTAGATAAACAGAGGCAGCAGATCAGGGACAGGGGGGATTTGAGATGATTCTCCTCCTTTAAAAAAATCATAATCCATTCTCTCTCATACCGTAGATGACTCACACAGTAAAGTGCTTGATGGAGCCCTGGTGGGTCTTGGCTGTGTGTCAGCACGCTCCACTGCTCCGACACCACTGTCTCAGGGCACTCCCTTTTTTCTTAGCCCCGCAGCTAGCTCCCCTGGTAGGGCACTGGGCTCTCTCTATGGGTGTATGGCTGTCTGTGTGTGTATATCTGCTTGCCTTTCCGGTGTAGAATGCTGCCACTCTTTTAGCCGCCACTCCAATCCCTGCCCTGCCACCCCCACCTCCTTCATCCCACCACCACCCCACAGTCCACTTATCAGTGCTATCTGTCGGTCAGGATCACTCACTGAGAAGAGATACAGGCAGTGAAGGAGAGCCACTGTCTCAATACTGACTGTTGTTTGATCATAGACAGGCAGTTCTGACTGTCCCAGCCACAGTAAATCCAGTGATGTATTTGGATGGGTATATAGGGATTCACACTTTGACAGGGATGGGGGGGATTAGTGCGCCTCATTCGCTTTCAGAAGGGGAGAGAACGACAAAGATAAAAAAGGAGACTAAAATTAAGCTGATGATAAGATATCTGACTGAGCAGTAACGTTAGAGGTCAAATGATCTCTTTACAGTGCTGTGAAAATCAATAAACCAGTGAAATGTGATGGGCCCTGCCCTCTGTGGCCGAATGGCTCCACTAGGTCCTTCAGAAGAACGGGGTGGACCCCCTGTGGTGGTGATGATTTTTGATGAATGGATAAGGATGGATACAGCCTCCTCCTCTGTCTCTGCTTATTGACAACCAATTAATGAGAATCCCACTAACTGTAATTATTGGAATCTGAGAGTGCAACACCCATTCATTCATTGTCTTGTTACCTCATTCTCTTGCACTCTTGTTAATTCTCTCTCTCTCCTCCCCTCCGTTCACCCACCGGAAATAAAACCAGGAATCAGATGACTCTCAAATGTTTCATTCACTCGTTTATCCTTTCCCTCTTTCTCTCCTTCACTCTCTGCCATTTCCTCTCCTCCGTCTCCTCCAGGTTGTCAGTGCTGTAACAGGACCACATGGCATTAAACGTCTCAGTGTTCTGTATGAATCTGTGTATGATTCAGCGTTCTAATGTGTCAGTGTTCTCTCTATGTCTCGGTGTTCTGTATGTGTCAGTAGTGCTCAGGTGAACTGTGCTGTGCTGGGTTGTGTTGGGCTGACGGGGGTTCTGACCATGGGGCTAGCTGCATTAGTCACGCTGTGAGACGCCCATGATAAATCTCACTGCTGCAGCGTGCAGACAGGCAGGTGGATGGGTGGCACAGCAGAGCCAAGTTAAAGTATTTCTCCCTTCTCTTGCCCCTCTCCTTCGGTCCTTCATCATCTTTCTCCTTTTCTTGTTCAACATTCCCTCCCTCTTGCTACACTATCTATGTTTCCATTACTAGTAATATTTAGCACATGCAGTGCCTGGTTGTCTGTCCCATTTTATTCAAACCTCGCAGACAGACTAGTACACTGATCCATCAAAAAACAAGCACACCAGGCAAGCATCACAGGATCAAAATGTGAACCAGATTATCCCACATAAAAACTGTGATGTACTATTTTCAGCAAACCACCTCTGTCTTTCCTCCACACCCTTCGCCATCATCATCACTCCTGTACTCACCCACATACATGACTCCCTCCTTGGTTTTGGCAGCTGCCTCCTCCACCCCTGCCTTGGTCTTCTCCGCTGCCGCCACGACGCCCTCCTTGGCCATGGAGAATCCTTTCTTCAGTGCATCCATGCTGGCCTGCTGTTACGGGGCTGTGTCTTTTAGCTGGCTCTGGCTGCGTCTTGGAGCTGGTGGATTAGGCTGCTCGGTGTGCCTGTCTGTGCCTGTCTGCGTGTGTGTGAGCGCGTCTGTGAGTGTGTATCTCTGCGTGGTGGGTGTGTGTGTGTGCGAGCGTACGTGCATGCGCTGCTCTTATGAGAGAGAGAGAGAAGCTGGACTGATCTGTACTGCTGAAGCAGATTGGGACGCCCTCAACAAGGAGAGCAGCTGAGCGAATGATATGGAGAGAGAAGGAGGGAGGGAGAGAGAGAGGGAGGGGAGAGAGAGAGGGAGAGAGACGGAGAGAGAGCGAGATAGGCTGTGAGAGAAGGGGGAGCGAGATGGAAAGAGAGATGAGAGAGAGAGAGAGAGAGAGAAGAGGTAAAGAAAGAGACAACAGCAAGTGGGTGAGGGGCAGAGATGGATTCCACAAGACACTGCTGTATTTTTCTCAGTCATGCTACCTACCCCATCTCTTCTGCTATCGTGCACACAGAGAGACAAGTACACTCACAGGCTTAGTGGTTTATTCAAGACTGGATTTATCTGTGTGTCAACCCTGGAATGACACCTTTAATTTTTTTCACCTTTATTTAACCAGGTAAGCCAGTTGAGAACAAGTTCTCATTTACAACTGTAACCTGGCCAAGATAAAGCAAAGCAGTGCTATAAAAACAACAACAACACAGAGTTACATATGGAATAAACAAAAACGTACTGTCAATAACACAATAGAAAATAGAAAATCTATGTACAGTGTGTGCAAATGTAGTAAGTTATGGAGGTAAGGCAATAATAATAGGCCATAGTGCAAAATAATTACAATTTAGTATTAACACTGGAGTGATAGATGTGCAGAAGATGATGTGCAAATAGAGATACTGGGGTGCAAATGAGCAAAATAAATAACAAAGAGGTAGTTGGGTGGGCTAATTTCAGATGGGCTGTGTACAGGTGCAGTGATCGGTAAGCTGCTCTGACAACTGATGCTTAAAGTTAATGAGGGAGATAAGTGTCTCCAGCTTTAGATATTTTTGTAGTTCGTTCCAGTCATTTGCAGCAGAGAACTGGAAGGAATGTGTCACGCCCTGGCTCTGGGGACTCTTGTATGTTGAGCCAGGGTGTTAGTTTCTTTGTGTAGTGTCTATGTTTAGTTTTCTATGTTCTGTTCTAGGTTATGTGTTTCTATGTTGGCCGGGGTGGTTCTCAATCAGAGGCAACGTGAATCAGCTGTTGCTTGTTGTCTCTGATGGGAAACCATACTTAGGCAGCCTGTTGTGCACTTGTGTTTTGTGGGATCTTGTTCCGTTAAGGTTTGTGTTTATGACCGAGGACTTCACGTATCGTTTTTGTTGTTTTGTGTTATATTGAAAGTACCTATTAAAGTATGTACTCATATCACGCTGCGCCTTGGTCCGTTCATTATGACGATCGTGACAGAAGATCCCACCAAAACAGGACCAAGCAGCGTGTCCAGGAGCAGACAGCCTGGACTTGGGAGGAGATCTTGGACGGGCAGGGTTCCTGGACTTGGGAGGAAATCCAGGCCGAAATGGATCGCCGTCCGTGGGAGGAGACGGTGGAGGCGCGCCATAGAGAGTAGCAGCGGCGCCAACCGGGTCGACGTCGGACACGCAAGAGGCAACCCCAATAAATCTTTTGGGGGGGGCACACCAAGCATGGACGTCGGGGCTGCTGGAGGCAGCTACGGGGCGAGTTTGGGGATTAGGAGAGGAGGCCACCGGGTTTGGGGGGCTGGAAGGGAGGTTGGCGGAGCCTAGAGGTAGAGCAGAGCCAACTCCCCGTACTCAGGCTAGGCAGCGTGAGACTGGGCAGGTTCCGAGGTATGTGGAGCTGCGTACTGTGCCGCGAGTGGTCCGGCACAGTCCGGTACGTCCTGTGCGAGCACCACGCACGTGTCGTGCTAAGGTGGGCATGCAGCCAGGACGGAGTGTGCCGGCTCAACGCTCGTGGCCTCCAGTACCCCTCCTCGGTCCCGGATATCCTGCGCCAGTGTCACGTGCTGTAGTGCCAGTACGAGTACACAGCCCTGTACGTCCTGTGCTGATGCCTCACACAGAGTGTGTAAAAATAGGCATTCAGCCAGGACGGGTTGTGTCAGCTCTTCGCTCCAGACCTCCAGTCCGTCTCCACAGCCCGGTCCGGCCCGTTCCTGCTCCCCGCACCAAGCCTATGGTGCGCGTCGCCAGCCCGGCCCGGCCTGTTCCTGTTCCCCGCACCAAGCCAATGGTGCGCGTCGTCAGCCCGGCCCGGCCTGTTCCTGCTCCCCGCACCAAGCCTGTGGTGCGCGTCGCCAGCCCGGTCCGGCCTGTTCCTGCTCCCCGCACCAAGCCTGTGGTGCGCGTCGCCAGCCCGGTCCGGCCCGTCCCTGCTCCCCGCACCAAGCCTGTGGTGCGCGTCGTCAGTCCGGCACAGCCCGTGCCTGCTTCACTGGTGCCTGGTCAGGTACCGGTCAGCTGCTCCACACCGGCGCCTAAGCAATCCGCTCCACCGATGTCCAGTCCAGCTCCTGCCAGCGGGGCCAGACCAGACCAGGGGCGCTACGGGGGGGTTGTTAGAGAGTGGTGGTCACGCCCGGAGCCGGATCCACCTCCGAGGTGGAATGACCACCCGGTCCCTCCCCTGTTGGGTTTATGTTGGCGCGGTCGCAGTCCTGGCTCTGGGGACTCTTGTATGTTGAGCCAGGGTGTTAGTTTCTTTGTGCAGTGTCTATGTTTCATTTTCTATGTTCTGTTCTAGGTTATGTGTTTCTATGTTGGCTGGGGTGGTTCTCAATCAGAGGCAACGTGAATCAGCTGTTGCTTGTTGTCTCTGATTGGGAACCATACTTAGGCAGCCTGCACTTGTGTTTTGTGGGATCTTGTTCTGTTAAGGTTTGTGTTTATGACCGAGGACTTCACGTATCGTTTTTGTTGTTTTGTGTTATATTGAAAGTACCTATTAAAGTATGTACTCATATCACGCTGCGCCTTGGTCCGTTCATTATGATGATCGTGACAGAATGGCGGCCAAAGGAGGTGTTGGCTTTGGGGATGACCAGTGAGATATACCTGCTGGAGCGCATACTACGGGTGGGTGTTGCTATGGTGACCAATGAGCTAAGATAAGGCGGGGATTTGCCTAGCAGTGATTTATAGATGACCTGGAGCCAGTGGGTTTGGTGACAAATATGTAGTAAGGGCCAGCCAATGAGAGCGTACAGGTCACAATGGTGGGTAGTATATGGGGCTTTGGTGACAAAACGGATGGCACTGTGATAGACTACATCCAATTTGCTGAGTTGAGTGTTGGAAGCTATTTTGTAAATGACATCGCCGAAGTCAAGGATCGGTAGGATAGTCAGTTTTACGAGGGCATGTTTAGCAGCATGAGTGAAGGAGGCTTTGTTGCGAAACAGGAAGCCGATTCTAGATTTTACTTTGGATTGGAGATGCTTAATGTGAGTCTGGAAGGAGAGTTTACGGTCTAACCAGACACCTAGGTATTTGTAGTTAGACCCGCCGAGAGTAGTGATTCTAGTCAGGCGGGCGGGTGCAAGCAGCGTTCGATTGAAGAGCATGCATTTAGGTTTTACTAGCGTTTAAGAGCAGTTGGAGGCCATGGAAGGAGTGTTGTATGGCATTGAAGCTCGTTTGGAGGTTTGTTAACACAGTGTCCAATGAGGGGCCAGTTGTATACAAAATGGTGTCGTCTGCGTAGAGGTGGATCTGAGAGTCACCAGCAGCAAGAGCGACATCATTGATATACACAGAGAAAAGAGTCGGCCCGACAATTGAACCCTGTGGCACCCCAATAGAGACTGCCAGAGGTCCAGAAAACATGCCCTCCGATTTTACACATTGAACTCTATCTGAAAAGTAGTTGGTGAACCAGGCGAGGCAGTCAGTTGAGAAACCAAGGCTATTTAGTCTGCCAATAAATGTTATTGAACACAAAAACTGCAATTCTCTGCTCTCCCTCTCTTTCATTACATTTAAGATTCACCAACCTGCCATCCTCAGCAATATACTATACAGACACTGATATGATATATTGATATTGATATGATACAATACAATATATAATTATTCAATAAGATACAGTATATGACCTTACACTTTATTGCCCATTTCCATGAAAATTCCTTTTGTGAAGTCAGCAGCACATCAAACATGTATATTCCTTTACTGCTCTAGGGATATAATTATCGTTTGGATAACCTTATTTACTATTATGTATTGATTTTTACCTTACATTCTTTTACTCTTTTTGCGATGTGCAATGCAGAAAACACCGGAAGAATAATTATAATTTAATTACCACAGTGAATTATTGTAATGTTTGTTTATGTGTCAATTAATCCCGTAAGGGATGGGTTGCCAATTGGCGATTTGACACAAAAATGAAATGTAATTCATTAAGTCATTCATACAGATGTAGGATCTCAATTTGAGCCAGTTTGCTACAGCAGGAAAAAATCCTCCAGCAACAGGAAATGTGAATCATTATGTGGATTATAATTCATGGTAATTTTTGTAGGGGTTGATACATTTTTCATAAGGGAAAATCAAGTCTGACATTTCAAAATGGAAATTCCAAACTTAAGAAGCCTTTTTAAACCTCAAATACAGCACAATTTAAAAAAGTATGCGTTGCAGGAATGTTCTCCTGCAACAGCGTGATCAAATTAAGATCCTACATCACAGTACAGTTGAAAAATATATGGCAAATAGAAATGTTCTATTGTGGAATGCAGAGTTTGGTTTTCGCCAGGCATTACTGGAACCATGTCGTCCAAAAAGTTATACTTTTGAATCATCTGTCCATAGAACGTTCTTCCAAGAGTCTTGATGATCATCCAGGTGCTTTTTGACAAACTTGAGTCAACTTTTTGGACGAGATGGGTCCCATTATGCCTGGCGAAAACCAAACACTGCATTCCACAGTAAGAACATCATACCAAAGGTCAAGCATGGTGGTGGTGGTGTGATGGTTTGGGGATGCTTTGCTGCCTCAGGACCTGGACGACTTGCCTTAATAGAAGGAACCATGAATTCTGCTCTGTATCAGAGAATTCTACAGGAGAATGTCAGACCATCCGTCTGTGAGCTGAAGCTGAAGCGCAGCTGGGTCATGCAGCAAGACAATGATCCAAAACACACAATCAAGTCTACATGAAAATTGCTAAAAAGCAACAAATTGGACGTTTTGGAATGGCCTAGTCAAAGTCCAGACCTAATCCCAATTGAGATGTTGTGGCAGGACTTGAAACGAGCAGTTCATGCTTGAAAACCCACACGTCACTGAGTTAAAGCAGTTTTGCATGGAAGAGTGGGCCAAAATTCCTCCACAGCGACATGAGAGACTGATCAACAACTACAGGAAGCATTTGGTTGGAGTCATTGCAGCTAAAGGTGGCACAACCAGTTATTGAGTGTAAGGGGGCAATTACTTTTTCACACAGGGGAATTGGGTGTTGCATAACTTTGTTTATGAAATAAATTAAATAAATATGTAATTGTTGTGTTATTTGTTCACTTATGTTCCCTTTATCTAATATTAGGTGTTGGTTGAAGATCTGATAACATTCAGTATAACAAATATGCAAAAGTAGAGAAAATTAGAAAGGGGGCAAATACTTTTTCATAGCACTGTATATATGTATGTATGTATTTATATATATATATATATATATATATATATATATATGTATTTATATATATATATATATATATATATATATATTTATATATATATATATATATATATATATATTTGCGAAATAAAACATTTGGGGGTTTGGAAGTGATGCAGACAATTACATTGATGGAAGTAACAATCTATCTGCAATATTAAAGCTGATCTACCCCCTAAAACGTTTAAAAAATAATAAAAAATCCTACATCTGTAGAATACGTACTGTACATCCCACTATGCATAATGCATAGCGGGTACATACAGTATGTAGGATCTTAATTTGATCACTCTTTTGTTGCTGAGAATTTTCCTGTAGATGAGCTTCGTGATTTACATAAATTCACTGAAAACCCACACTAACACACAATTCTATTATATTAACAGTATTGCACTTTTCATGTAGCCTATTTTTGGCCAGCTAATAGCCTAACCACCGATCAAGCAACATTAGGGACTAAATGTTCAAATACTGTTGCTGCAGGATTATTTTTGCTGTGACAATACAGGTCAAATTAAGATCCTACACGCCACACTTACTCGTACATTGATCATCAGGTTTCTCCCTAGAAATTGAGATGCCACTGCAATCACTCATTATAATAATAATACAGAAAACCATAGAAGCACTAATGAGATGTGTGTGGTCGCTCAACTGTATTTGATGTCATTGGCAGCAATAGGTCTTGGAGAGGGAAGGGATTATGAAGCCCAGAGCTATAATTAGCGCATGTGAAGTTAGTTACATATGGCTGCTGAAGCACATCCATTCAATACACACAGCATCCCCCCACTCTACATCAAAGTGAATGGAAAAGAAAGCCCTTTAGAGTGCCTGACCTGTAAAAGCTATCCATACTCATGATGCATACTAAATGGTGGTGCAGATAAAGTATTTATAGAGATATTGCTATATAAATATACAGTAGTATCATTGTATATATACGCATGCTTCAGTTTAATACAGTTTAGGATTTTCTATAACGAGAGTCCTGTAGTGCCGTTGACGGAAACATTCAGTAACATGATGACCATAATGGTCATCATGACTTGATGTTCTTTTCAGAGAAATGCAACTTGTTATTGATGTCAGAAGTAGGCTGTACTCGTCTCCACTCAACATTATCCAGCAAGAAATAGAGTTCCAGACACCGTGCCACTCCCCTCTGTATCAGTAAGGAAAGTAGGATGGGGATATATTCTGAGGCATCATGGTGTTACTATTAAAGCTGATTAATGTCGGATTCTCTGTACTATGCATGTGACGTGAATGTATGAAAGAAACAGACATTGAATGAGAATCACAGGGAAAGGAGGGGCTAAGAGAGTGCTAAAAGATGTTGAGGTCAGGTGTATGGGAGATTGGGGACTTAAAGACTGCTGAGTTAGGGCTTATTGGGATGAGAGGGAATCGGAGACCCAGGGTTTTAGTCCCAGGGGTGTGGATGTCCATTAGAGTGTAAAGAGGAACCATACTCAGAAGTAATGAAATGGTTATATGGACCCATTCAGACAACCAATGACCTCATCTATTAATGAGAAACAGAGGATTGCCTACACTGTGAAAATGGGTTTTACTGTATAGCCTTATTACCGCTTTGGCCTTTGATTTGCAGTGGTAGTACAGAAAGGGTGGAGGAGATCATCCCCTAGCCTCATTTGTGACCTCATATTATTAAAGGTAAAAAATTATACAATTGAAAATAAGTATCCCTTAATATAACAAGATAAAGCACTGAGAATGTGAGAAAATATCTTCACAGATGATATTTGTATTCAGGGGAAGTGGCCAATTGGAAAATGAATGAAGAGCTGCAAATGGAGAGTGATAATTGGATAATTTCTGCACCATTATCTCTGCTGTAAATGAGTTTGTCATCCCTTCGGCTCGCCTGGTCGTCCATTTAAACCCAGAACAGGCTGAAAAGAGCTGACGTTTCACCCTATAATCGGGTTTGTTGGCCAGACGCCTTGCACAGTCCCAGATTTGCAGCTGTCTCCCTCCCCTTGTGTCCTGAATCCTGGTCAGAAAATAGGGTGACTCAGAGAATAACCTTTAGCAGGCAGACAACATGGCAGCCTGCCTGCAGCCCCAATACCCGACCAGCCTCCCCCAGCCATCTCTCTCTCTCCTCCCTGCAGCCTCCGTCTCTCCTCTGATTGGCTAAGGGCCAGCGCAGGGCTATTTTTAGAGGAGCTCACTTCTCGTATAATAAGGAGAGAATGTATAGTGACATCGGCTCCTATGGGTCGCTGCGGTGGCAGATCGCCCACCCTACAGGAAAGGGTGGAGCGATACGGTGGTCAGAGGAGCAGTGGTCAATACAGATCATGAGACTCTCTGTGGTGTGTCGATGTGAAATATCTCCCTCTTTACACCCTCCCGTCCTTGTCATCATCTGCCAAGGCACATGACCATGTTGGAAGTGGCAGCAGGAGCTAAGGCCTATAGACTAGGACAGGAGAAGGAGAGTGATGGATGGATGTCCACAATCTCCACATCCACCGCAGGCTGAGAGGAGCTGAAGTCCTTCATCAGGATGACCTACAGACAAAGTCTGCTGAATCTTAAAAGCTCCCATTCTCCCCACCCTGTGGTCTAAGCCTTTTATGTATTTTATATTCAGTGGAGCATTTCAGATACAGTACAACACCTCTGGGTTGAGAACCACAGCATGTTCCCAGTCCAGTCAGGGCTGGTCATGAGACAGTAGAAACATGTGCTTTGCTAAGATCAGGCAGCTTTTGTTTTGAGTTCTCTCTTCACCCAATTTGCTGGGAAAAGAAACAATAAAATGTTCCCAGAATATTTGAGCCAAAATGGGTCAGCAAGTCACATTACACGGTCTGACTTCAACTCAATACAATTGAAGACATTTTAACCCGCAACCTAAGTGTATTATCATGGGTCAAGTGCCTTCAAATGCGATCAGAGGGCTGTGTTAAGTATTGACTTTTTAATCACTCTACTCTGTATGAGGGCCTGATTGAGGAGAATGTCCTATTTCAGACTAAGCCACTACACTGTCTCTACTAGGGCTGTCCCCGACAAAAATAACTCTTGGTCGACCAAGAGTCGTCTGTTCTTTCGACCAATTGATTGTTAGACATTTTTAAACGTGTATTTTTCCATATATATACACATCCTATGTGTTTTAATCAAATCAACTATATGCACTGAGCTTGTCTGATGCTTTAAGCACACTGTTCAATGAAATAATTAAGACACATAAATGACTAGAGGGAGTCCGACCGCAATTGATTTGATTGTGCGCAGACTTGCTGCACTGTGTTAAAACAAATGACAGTGAGTGACTGTGTGACTAGCACCCGTTGTCTCTCTCGCCTCCATGCTGCAGTGACCACTACAGAACTTCAACAGTGTTTATCGCGCAGTCCATGTTGCTGAGGCTGCAACATAATTAGAGCCATTTCTGACTGAAAAGTTCTGTTACCGAAATCCCTAATTTGTTTAGGAAAAACATTCCCTATTCCCTCAACCCTTGCTCTCTTAATGTGACACGTCTGCATCACATGCACGTGACCAATAGGGCCTGACCGATAGCATACCATAATTACATCAATAAATTGGTTACAACAAACTCCGGACACGTGACAGCAAAATGGATGCAGAGGATGTGACAAATGAACTTGAAACGGGGGAATGTTTACTGGTTGCTCAGGAGGTAAAGGGGAAGTCAGATGTGTGGAATATATTTGACTAGTTGTGGAAAATACTGGAGATCAAGAAAAATAAGTTATGGAGCAAGCTCTGCGTGCATATTATGTGTGCCAAACAGGTGCCGTTAGATTACAATATAATTTTTCAGACCATTTGGAACAATGTAAACAACTCTAAATAAATTATAAGCATACCAGAGAGTCTGCTGTAATGTTATTTTGATTGTTTGTAAAGCCTTTATTACAGCAACGACTAAAAACAGTCACATTCATTTGTGAATGTAATTTCCAAAATGGAATGGTACATTTTTTTTCGCGCTAATTATTCAAGGGTCGCTTTATTTTATTTTAAAACGAAAATGCTTGATTGCATTTCAAATCAAAGAATGAATGATTGATTGAAATATAGGTAAGTTATGGTATTAAGACTAAAGAGGCCTACAGCTTGATGGTGGTTATACAAGGCTGCTATTCTAAGCCTACTAATGATGATCATAATAATAGTAATAATAACAATAAGAAGGAGATTAAGAAAAATAAGGGTTATTAATATTATATAGATAATTTTTCTGACAATTTGGAAGAGTGTAAATACTAAATAAATTATAAGTAATACCAGAGAGGCTGTTCTAAAAAGTGTAAAGCCTTTATTACAGCATAACAAAGATTAAAAACAGCAGAATTTGTGAAACATGTTGTGGTTGCATGAGGCTTGGTGCTCACAGAATCAGTAGGCTATTAAACAAACACTCAAACAGAAGCAGGATCTGTCTTATTTCTGTAGATATACAGTACCAGTCAAAAGTTTGGACACACCTACTCATTCAAGAGTTTTTCTTTATTTTTACTATTTTCTACATTGTAGAATAATAGTGAAGACATCAAAACTATGAAAGAACATGTGGAATCATGTAGTAACCAAACAAGTGTTAAATCAAAATATATTTTAGATTTTAGATTCTTCAAAGTAGCCACCCTTTGCCTTGATGACAGCTTTGCACACTCTTGGCATTCTCTCAACCAGCTTCACCTGGAATGCTTTTCCAACAGTCTTGAAGGAGTTCCCACATATGCTGACCACTTGTTGGCTGCTTTTCCTTCACTCTGCGGTCCGACTCATCCCAAACCAACTCAATTTGGTTGAGGTCGGGGGATTGTGGAGGCTAGGTCATCTGATGCAGCACTCCATCACTCTCTTTCTTGGTCGAATAGCCCTTACACAGCCTGGAGGTGTGTTGGGTCATTGTCCTGTTGAAAAACAAATGATAGTCCCACTAAGCCCAAACCAGATGGGATGGCGTATCACTGCAGAATGCTGTAATAGCCATGCTGGTTAAGTGTGCCTTGAATTCTAAATAAATCCCAGACAGTGTCACCAGCAAAGCACCCCCACACCATAACACCTCCTCCTCCATGCTTTACAGTGGGAAATACACATGCGGAGATCATCCATTCACCTACTCTGCGTCTCACAAAGACACGGCGGTTGGAACAAAACATCTCAAATTTGGACTCATCAGACCAAAGGACAGATTTCCACCGGTCTAATGTAAATTGCTCGTGTTTCTTGGCCCAAGCAAGTCTCTTCTTCTTATTGGTGTCCTTTAGTAGTGGTTTCTTTGCAGCAATTCGACCATGAAGGCCTTTTTCACGCAGTCTCCTCTGAACAGTTGATGTTGAGATGTGTCTGTTACTTGAACTCTGTGAAGCATTTATTTGGGCTGCAATTTCAGAGGCTGGTAACTCTAATGAACATATCCTCTGCAGCAGAGGTAACTCTGGGTCTTGCTTTCCTGTGGCGGTCCTCATGAGAGCCAGTTTCATCAGAGCGCTTGATGGTTTTTGTGACTGCACTTGAAGAAACTTTCTAGAAATGTTCCGGATTGACTGACCTTCATGTCTTAAAGTAATGATGGACTGTCGTTTCTCTTTGCTTATTTGAGCTGTTCTTGCCATAATATGGACTTGGTCTTTTACCAAATAGGGCCATCTTCTGTATACCACCCCTACCTTGTCACAACACAACTGATTGGCTCAAATGCATTAAGAAGGAAAGAAATTCCACAAATTAACTTTTAACAAGGCACACCTGTTAATTGAAATGCATTCCAGGTGACTACCTCATGAAGCTGGTTGAGAGAATGCCAAGAGTGTGCAAAGCTGTCATCAAGGCAAAGGGTGGCTACTTTAAAGAATCTCAAATATTAAATATATTTTGGTTTGTTTAACACTTTTTTGGTTACTATATGATTCCATATGTGTTATTTCATAGTTTTGATGTCTTCACTATTATTATGTGGAAAATAGTAAAAATAAAGAAACCCTTGAATGAATAGGTGTGTCCAAACTTTTGACTGGTACTGTATATGGATGATTTCTCAAGCCAGGAACATTTAACAGTTAGGCTATTGATTACAGACCTAATTAAGTTGGCGTTTCCTCTCTCCTCACTTTTCTTAGTCAATTAAGGCAAGTGCTGTTTTCTCATCTCCTAACTCCGCTGCTGCCTCCGCCACATTGTTCTCAACACCAATATGCTGGTTAACTTTGCTATTATGCACATAGGAAAATGTGCCAATTCAACAGCGCACTGATGTTTCAGAGAAAGCGCATTTGTTATAAAATGTTATTTTTATTAGTGTTGCACCATTGTTCTTACGTAATATAACCATATACATTTTTTACATTTTTACATTTTTGTCATTTAGCAGACGCTCTTATCCAGAGCGACTTACAGGAGCAATTAGGGTTAAGTGCCTTGCTCAAGGGCACATCGACAGATTTTTCACCTAGTCGGCTCGGGGATTAGAACCAGCGACCTTTCGGTTACTGGCACAACGCTCTTAACCACTAAGCTACCTGCCGCCCCAGCTTTAGCTTTACATTTTCAGTAGCATGTCTTAGTGATGGACTTTGCCATTCTCACGGCTTTCACAATGGATTACACTACTCAGACAGGCGGCAATCAGACAGGTGTCTTGTACACCATTAAATTATTATTTATTGCTACTGCTCGACTAAAGAAATCTCGGTCGACCAACAGCCTATCAACCAAACAATTGACCAGTCGACTAAATGGGGTCAATCCTAATCTCGACTAATTATATTCCAGCGGTAGGCCTACAAAATGTAGAACATCAGATATTAGGCCTATTGTGCTGCCATGGTTTGAAATTAGGGGATTACAGGCAACATCTGCACTGAGCATGGATTACAGGCAACATCCGCACCGAGCTAAAGGCTAGAGCTGCCGCTTTCGAGGAGCAGGACACTAATCCGGACTCTTATGAGAAATCACGCTACACCCTTCGATTAACAATCAAACAGCTAAAGCGTCAATACAGGACTAAGATCGAATCCTACTACACCGGCTCTGAAACTCATCGGATGTGGCAGTGCTTGCAAACTATCATGGATTATAAAGGAAAACCCAGCCGCGAGCTGCCCAGTGACGCAAGTCCACTAGACGAGCTAAATGCCCTCTATGCTAGCTTCGAGGCAAGCAACGAACCATGCATGAGAGCACCAGCTGTTCCGGACGACTGTGTGATCACACTCTTCGTAGCTGATGTGAGTAAGAACTTTAAACAAGTCAACATTCACAAGGATAACTAGGACGCATATCAGAGCATGCGCTGACCAGCTGGCAAGTGTCTTCACTGACATTTTCAACCTCTCCCTGACCCAGTCTATAATACCAGCATGTTTCAAGTAGACCACCATAGTCCCTGTGCCCAAAAACACCAAGGTAACCTGTCTAAATGATTATCACACCGTAGCACTCACATCTGTAGCCATGAAGAGCTTTGAAAGGCTGGTCATGGCTCACATCAACACCATCATCCCAGACACCATAAACCCACTCCAATTCGCATACCGCCCCAACAGATCCACAGATGATGCACTCCACACTGCCCTTTCCCACCTGGACAAGAGGAACACCTATGTGAGAATGCTGTTCATTGACAACAGCTCAGCGTTCAAAACCATAGTGCCCTCCAAGCTCATCACTAAGCTAAGGACCCTGGGACTGAACACCTCCCTCTGCGACTGGATCCTGGACTTCTTGATGGGCCGCCCCCAGGTGGTAAGTGTAGGCAACATCACATTGCCACGCTCACCCTAAATACGGGGGCTCCTCAGGGATGAGTGCTTATTCCCCTCCTGTACTTCCTGTTCACCCACGACTGCATGGCAGCGCACGACTCCAACACCATCATTAAGTTTTCCGATGACACAATGATTGTAGGCCTGATTAACAATGACGATGAGACAGCCTATAGGGAGGAGGTCAGAGACCTAGCAGTGTGGTGCCAGGACAACAACCTCTCCCTCAACGTCAGCAAGACAAAGGAGCTGATCGTGGACTACAGGAAATAGAGGGCCAAGCATGCCTCCATTCACATCGACAGGGCTGTAGTGGAGCAGGTCGAGTTCCTCGGTGTCCACATCACTAAGGATGTATCATGGTCCACACACACCAACACAGACGTGAAGAGAGTACGACAATGCCTCTTCACACTCAGGAGGCTGATAAGATTTGCCATGGGCCCTCAGATCCTCAAAAATGTCTACAGCTGCACCACTGAGAGCATCTTGACTGGCTGCACCACCGCTTGGTATGGCAACTGCTTGGCATCCGACCGTAAGGTGCTACAGAGGGTAGTGCATACGGCCCAGTAAATCACTGGGGCCGAGCTCCCCGCCCTCCAGGACCTCTATACCAGGCCATGTCAGAGGAAGGGCCTATAAAATGTCAAAGACTCCAGCCACCCAAGTCATACTGTTCTCTCTGCTACTGCAAGGCAAGTGGTATCGATGCACCAAGTCTGGAACCAGCAGGACCCTGAACAGCTTCTACCCCCAAGCCATAAGAATGCTAAATAATTATTCAGGGTAGCTATTTAGTTAACTATTTAACTATCTGCATTGACACTTTTTGCACTAACTTTTTTGACTCATCACATACGCTGCTGCTACTTTTTATTATCTGTCACTTTATTCCTAGTTATACAGTATGTACATACACTGAGTGTACAAAACATTAGAAACACCTTCCTAATACTGAGTTGCACCACCTTTTGCCCTCAGAACAGCCTAAATTCGTTGGGGCATGGACTCTACAAGGTGTCGAAAGCGTTCCACAGGGATGCTGGCCAATGTTGACTCCAATGCTTCCCAAAGTTCGCTGGATGTCCTTTGGGTGGTGGACCATTCTTGATACACATGAGAAACTGTTGAGCGTGAAAAACCCAGCAGCGCTGCAATTCTTAGCACACTCAAACCGGTGTGCCTGGCACCTACTACCATACCCCGTTCAAAGGCACTTAAATATTTTGTCTTGCCCATTCACCCTCTGAATGGCACACATACACGATCCATGTCTCAATTGTCTCAAGGCTTAAAAATCCTTCTTTAACCTGTCTCCTCCCTTCATCTACACTGATTGAAGTGGATTTAACAAGTGACATCAATAAGGGATCATAGCTTTCACCTGGATTCACCTGGTCAGTTTAGGTCATGGAAAGAGAAGGAGTTCCTAATGTTTTGTACACTCAGTGTATCTGCCTCAATTACCTCGTACCCCTGCACATCGACTCGGTACTCTGTGTATTTATTTTCATGTGTTGGTCATTGTTGCGTGTTCTGTCATTGTAAGTCATTGATGATGCATGTTGTGATAAAACAATTTCCCAAATTGGGATTAATAAAGTAATACTCTACTCGACTCTCTCTCTGTATTGCCAAGTTATCATTACTCATTGTGTATGTAGTATTACGTGTTTTACTTTTCTATTATTTCTCTATTTTCTTTCTTTCTGCATTGTTGGGAACGGCCCATAAATAAGCATTTCAATGTTAGTCTACACCTGTTGTTTACGAAGCATATGACAAATACAATTTGATTTGATTAAGCTAAAATGGTTGCCCTTTAGAAAGGAGAGAGAGGATAGAGTTGTAGATCTTAGTGTGAGGACCACTGCTTTATCCAAGAACCTGAAGGTGAATGACTGCTGGAGTGCTGCCTGAAAGCCTATTGTTAACGTGCCCAAGATACATAACAAAACATTTGCCGCTAACACATCTGCTGTGTAAATTTGTTATTGCCAATGTGGTTTAAACGTCCTGTGAAAGTTTGTTGTCCGTCGTTTGGGTTGGGTTGGGTATGTATTTTGGGTCACTGTTGTAATGAAAACAAAACAGGCACATGGAAGGGCATCAATATAGGACCCATGCACATGACCTCCCCCTCATTAAATGTCGAGAGAGGACCTATTAGCAGGGGGGTGCTAAATTACCCATGGTGGTGGGTTGAAGCATGCCACTGATGTCCTCACCTAGGGGTTACTACAGGTCACAGGCCTACACACTGTTATGGCCCAAGTTTATTGCACAGGGATACTGATACATCCATCCAACGGACTGTATCAGTCCCCTAAGTCCAACAAAACAAAGGCTATCAATGAAAGAGTCATGAAAATATAGTGTTAGTCCAGTTATGATCTTGCAGCAGACTAACAGTTGGGGCAGCAGGCTATCAATACTGATGCCATTTGGACTAATCATACCACTTTATGACTGCCCGGGTTCCTAAACAGACCCTCTCACCATTCTCCCATGTTATATCAACACTAATGGAGTCAACTATAGTCTCTTAACACCAACTCCAAGTGCCAGAATCCATAGAGCAATATTATTGTGGTGGTAATCGGCTAACCACTTCATAGCTATTATTCAAGTCTCTCCATATCATTCTCCACTCTCTTTGTTATGTTACAGCCTTATTCTAAAATTGATTAAATAAATAAAAATCCTCAGCAATCTACATACAATACCCCATAATGAAAAAGCGAAAACAGGTTTAGACATTTTTGCAAATGTATTCATTTAAAAACAGAAATACCTTTTTTACGTAAGTATTCACACCCTTTGTTATGAGACTTGAAATTGACTTCAGGTGCATCCTGTTTCCATTGATCATCCTTCAGCTGTTTCTACAACTTGATTGGAGTCCACCTGTGGTAAATTCAATTGATTGGACATGATTTGGAAAGACACACACCTGTTTATATAAGGGAAAAAAACCAAGCCATATATCAGAGCAAAAACCAAGCCATGAGGTTGAAGGAATTGTCCGTAGAGCTCCGAGACAGGATTGTGTCGAGGCACAGATCTGGGGAAGGGTACCAAAACATTTCTGCAGCATTGAAGGTCCCCAAGAACACAGTGGCCTCCATCATTTTTAAACGGAAGAAGTTTGGAACCACCAAGACTCTTCCTAGAGCTGGCCGCCCAGCCAAACTGAGCAATCGGGGGAGAAGGGCCTTGGTCAGGGAGGTGACCAAGAACCCGATGGTCACTCTGACAGAGGTCCAGAGTTCCTCTGTGGAGGTGGGAGAACCTTCCAGACGGAAGCCACTCCTCAGTAAAAGGCACGACAGCCCGCTTGGAGTTTGCCAAAAGGCACCTATAGACTCTCAGACCATGAGAAACAAGATTCTCTGGTCTGATGAAACCAAGCTTCAACTCCTTGGCCTGAAGGCCAAGGGTCACATTTGGAGGAAACCTGGCACCATCCCTACAGTGAAGCATAGTGGTGGCAACATCATGCTGTGGGGATGTTTTTCAGCAGAAGGGACTGGGAGACTAGTCAGGATCGAGGGAAAGATGAACAGAGATCCTTAATGAAAACCTGCTCCAGGGCACTCAGGACCTCAGACTGGGGAAAAGGTTCACCTTCCAACAGGACAACGACCCTAAGCACACAGCCAGGACAACACAGGAGTGGCTTTGGGACAAGTCTCTGAATGTCGTTGAGTGGCCCAGCCAGAGCCCGGACTTGAACCCGATCGAACATCTCTGGAGAGACCTGAAAATAGCTGTGCAGCAATGCTCCCCATCCAACCTGACAGAGCTTGAGAGGATCTGCAGAGAAGAATGGGAGAAACTCCCCAAATACAGGTGTGCCAAGCTTATAGCGTCATACCCAAGAAGACTTGAGGCTGTAATCGCTGCCAAAGGTGCTTCAACAAAGTACTGAGTAAAGGGTCTGAATACTTATGTAAATGTAATTTATTAGTTATTTATTTAAAAAAAAATTTGCAACAATTTCTAAACTTTTTTACCATTATGGGGTAGTGTGTAGATTGAGGGGGAAAAAACAATTTAATCAATTTTAGAATAAGTCTGGAACCTAACAAAATGTGGAAAAAGTCAAGGGGTCTGAATACTTTCCGAATGCACTATATATATTTCTTACATGTATTTATCCCCTTTATTTGTCCTCTCCCACTGCCTTATTTTAGGCACTGGTACTGGGGACATTCAGATGAGTCTTGTAAGGCTTGTGGGCATCCTAGGGCAAAACGGAGAAAACCATCGTGTTCGCAAGAGTCTCAGCTTTCAATATAGTTTCTGGGCCAAACCTTTCGGACGCTACAGGCGTTTTTGTGAGAAGACCAATTTTCGGGATGTCTCATGGTTTGACAAACACCACTCTGGCTCATTCCACTTTTTACTGCAGATGCGGAAGGGCGATATCGGCGGATGAGGTGGATTGAGACGCAGCCCATTCAAAAACACATGTCTAGCTTGATGGGGATTTATGTTAGATTTCCGCGGGGGGCGCGACCATTGTAGGCCAAGGGTTAATGTTTGGTTGTGGTAGATGCAGCTGTATTGAGACAGATGCAAATCAGCAGCTCCTGTGCTCTATATCACTAAGAAGGAATAAGCCACTCAAACACATTCCATATCAACTAATCTACACAAAGAGCTCACTGGGGTTGCAAGAAAATAATCCCCCTTTTCAGATCCACCAAATGCCTCCATTCAGGGCAGTGATAAATAAAGGGCCAAATAATGGGCCTGCTGCCAGTTCCAGACAGACCCACCATGCCAAGGCTTCTGCCACCACACCCTGCAGATCAGTGCATCGCTGCAGTCCGTCCCATCATGCACCTGTGTATAGTCAGTCATACAGTGTGACGTGGCACAGTGGGGCTACAGCATGGCCAGGCAGTCGGGGTAGGATGTGAGATGCAATAGATATTGCCTCAGAGCAGCCAACCATGACACCAGCACAAATCTAATATACCCTCAAAGTATCAAGTTTCAGGAGAAGACCCAGACAGTGTCGAAGTAACAAACTTTTATTACAAAAACAGGGGGCAGGCAACCGACAGGTCAAGGGCAGGCAGAGGTCAGTAATCCAGATCAGAGTCCAAAAGGTACAGAACAGCAGGCAGTCTCAGGGTCAGGGCAGGCAGAGGTCAATAATCCAGGGTGGTGTGACATGGTACAGAACGGCAGGCAGGCTCAGGCTCATGGTAGGCAGAATGGTCAAAACCTGGAAACCAGGAACTTGAAAAAGACAGGAGCAAGGGAAAAAACGCTAGTAGGCTTAACGAAACAAAACGAACTGGCAACAAACAGAACACAGGTATAAATACCCTGGGGATAAAGGGCTGTGAGACTTGGGTTTGATCCTAGACACATTAAAAGTGGGACGTATACGGAGGGTACAGGAAAACAGAAGATGAACAGCAGAGGGGCTAATGATCTTGGAGATGGGGATAGGGCCAATAAACCGGGGGGAAAGTTTGCGTGACTCCACCCGGAGGGGCAGATTTCGGGTGGACAGCCATACCTTCTGCCCGAGACGATACCGTGGAGCCAGGGTCCGGTGGCGGTCCGCTTGTCGTCGGTACCTGGAGGTGGTCTTAAGAGCTGACCGGGCTCTCCTCCAGGTACGACAACAACGGCGGACAAACATCTGGGCCGAGGGTATACCAACCTCTTCCTCTGGGAAGAGCGGGGGCTGATAACCCAGGGAACACTCAAAAGGCGAAAGACCCGTGGCAGAGCAGGGAAGGGTGTTGCAGGCATAGTCGACCCACACTAGTTGCTGGCTCCAGGTGGTGGGGTTGGTGGAGACCAGGCAGCGCAGATTTGTCTCCAGGTCTTGGTTAGCGCACTCCGACTGGCCGTTGGACTGAGGGTGGAAACCGGAGGATAGGCTGGCCGACGACCCAATGAGTGTGCAGAAAGGCCAGTTCGTACTATCACGTTTCAGGAGAAGACCCAGATGCAGACAGTGTCTAAGTAACAAACGTTTATTACAAAAACAAGAGGCAGGCAACCGACAGGTGAAGGGCAGGCAGAGGTCAGTAATCCAGATCAGAGTCCAAAAGGTACAGAGCAGCAGGCAGTCTCAGGGTCAGGGCAGGCAGAGGTCAACAATTCAGGGTGGTGTGACAAGGTACAGAACGGCAGGCAGGCTCAGGGTCAGGGCAGGCAGAATGGTCAAAACCTGGAAACCAGGAACTTGAAAAAGACAGGAGCAAGGGGAAAACCGCTGGTAGGCTTGACGAAACAAAACGAACTGGCAACAAACAAACAGAGAACACAGGTATAAATACACTGGGGATAATGGGGAAGATGGGCGACACCTGGAGGGGGGTGGAGACAATCACAAAGACAGGTGAAACAAATCAGGGTGTGACAAAGAGATGTTATGGTTTTCACCTATTTCTCTGATGAGATTTCCCCCCCACCCCCACACCTTTTTGTTGTCTTTGTCAATTAAGTGATTTTCCATAAATTACTAAACTAACACTACAGTTCTAATTGAAAACTGCTCATGTGCATAATTTGACTGTTGTTTCCACATTTTTCCAATTTATCAGAGGGCCTTCATGTATTTTGACAATAATGGTCCAGTACCTCACATGGCCTCCTCATCCAAACAGCAAAGGTGCCAAGAGGATGCTTTTATCAAATTAATGTGGGGCCCAGAATTTTCACTATCAGTATGGGTGGGGTATGTGTGGAACAAAAGGAAGCCTGTTACAAATATCTTGGAAGTTGGACATGGGCCCGTGACATTTAGCTTGTCGCCAGCTTTGTTAGAAAACTGTTGGGTGAGTCACAGCCTTGGGGTATTTCAAGCAATTCCTGTATCAGGTTACAGATGTTTTCCTTTAGGTACTCAGAGTCCCCACCGGGTCCCACAGTAAAAAAAGCTGCCTATTTCCCTCGTCAAACTCAAATCTCACTGCATCTCTATTGGGAAAAACAAAAATACAAAACGAAATTGACAGTGTTAGAGTCAAGCTTTGCCAACATTGATGTTGAGCTTGGTATAACTCCACAGAACCCCCCAACCCCCCGCCCTCCCTGTCCCTTCACCTATGGCCCTGTGCTCTCCTTGACCTTTCGACATTTAGGACATTCATCATTGGGCAGGAAAGGCTATATACCCACGTCAACTTTAAACTTCAGTCACAGAGAGTTTTTTCTCCAAGCGATGTCAATTTCTGTGATTTAAGAGGAAACTCATACATTGTGCCTGCTGGGTAAATAAATTAGTTTATAGACCCTCCCCCTTAAAGCCAATACATCATTTGCACAATATGGGGAACTTTTGTTGTATGCGTTCCACTAGAGTTTTTAAAGCAGTGGGGTACTATATATATATACAGTTGAAGTCGGAAGTTTACATACACCTTAGCCAAATACATTTAAACTCAGTTTTTCACAATTCCTGACATTTAATCCTAGTAAAAATTCCCTGTCTTAGGTCAGTTAGGATCACCACTTTATTTTAAGAATGTGAAATGTCAGAATAATAATAGAGATAATGATTTATTTCAGCTTTGATTTCTTTCATCACATTCCCAGTGGGTCAGAAGTTTATATACACTCAATTAGTGTTTGGTAGCATTGCTTTTAAATTGTTTAACTTTGGTCAAACGTTTCGGTGTCACGCCCTGGCTCTGGGACTCTGTTATGTTGAGCCAGGGTGTGTAGTTTCTATGTGTTTGTGTTCTAGGTTCATTATCTAGCTCATGTGTTTCTGTGTTGGCCGGGGTGGTTCTCAATCAGAGGCAACGAGTATCAGCTGTTGCTTGTTGTCTCTGATTGGGAACCATACTTAGGCAGCCTGTTTTCCACAGTGTATTGTGGGATCTTGTTCCGTGTTGGTTTGTGTATGTAACCAAGGACTTCACGTTATCGTTTTGTTGTTTTTGTTTCTTGTGGTGAATCTAAATAAAGTATGTTGACTTATCACGCTGCGCATTGGTCCACTCCCTTCAACGATCGTGACAGAAGATCCCACCAAAACAGGACCAAGCAGCGTGTCCAGGAGCAAGCGCCGGGTAAGGAGCTGGAGAGGTTGGCGGTGGGCCAATGGTGGTCCTGGGAGGACATGCTCGCGGGAAAAGGGCCATGGGCTAAAGTTAAGGCCCTGGCGAGAGAGGAGGTACGGCGCCAACAGTGCCGTCGTCAGACAGGCGAGAGGCAACCCCAAGTAATTTTTAGGGGGGGGGGGGCACACGGCATGGATGACGGGGCAGCAGGAGGCAGCTACAGGGCGTATCGGGAGAATAGGAGAGGAGGCCACCAGGTTAAGGGGGCTATTGGTCCAGAGGGAGCAGGAGTTAGTGGGTCAGAGGGAGGAGCTACTGGAGGCGATAAGGGAGAAGGAGAGAGTAGAGGCACGGCGAGAGGAACTGTGTAGGCAGCTGAGGGAGCGGAGGGTTATGAAGAAACCCAGTCCCGCTCCTCACACCAAGCAAGTGGTGTGTGTCACCAGTCCGGTCCGGCCCGTTCCTGCTCCCCGCACTAAGTTAGTGGTGCGTGTTCCCAGTCCGGCCCGACCCGTTCCTGCTCCCCGCACTAAGTTAGTGGTGCGTGTTCCCAGTCCGGCCCGACCCGTTCCTGCTCCCCGCACTAAGTTAGTGGTGCGTGTTCCCAGTACGGCCCAACCCGTGTCTGCTCCCCGCACTAAGTTAGTGGTGCGTGTTCCCAGTCCGGCCCGACCCGTTCCTGCTCCCCGCACTAAGTTAGTGGTGCGTGTTCCCAGTCCGGCCCGACCCGTTCCTGCTCCCCGCACTAAGTTAGTGGTGCGTGTTCCCAGTACGGCCCAACCCGTTCCTGCTCCCTGCACTAAGTTAGTGGTGCGTGTTCCCAGTCCGGCCCGACCTGTTCCTGCTCCCCGCACCAAGCTTATGGTGCGCGTCGCCAGCCCGGTCCGGCCTGTTCCTGCCCCTCGCACCAAGCCTATGGTGCGCGTCGCAAGCCCGGCCCGGCCTGTTCCTGCTCCCCGCACCAAGCCAATGGTGCGCGTCGCCAGCCCGGCCCGGCCTGTTCCTGCTCCCCGCACCAAGCCAATGGTGCGCGTCGCCAGCCCGGCCCGGCCTGTTCCTGCTTCCCGCACCAAGCCAATGGTGCGCGTCGTCAGCCCGGCCCGGCCCGTACCTGCTCCCCGCACCAAGCCTGTGGTGCGCATCGTCAGCCCGGTCCGGCCCGTTCCTGCTCCCCGCACCAAGCCAGGGGTGCGAGTCGTCAGCCCGGTCCGGCCCGTTCCTGCTCCCCGCACCAAGCCAGGGGTGCGCGTCGTCAGCCCGGTCCGGCCCATTCCTGCTCCCCGCACCAAGCCTGTGGTGCGCGTCGTCAGTCCGGTCCGGCCCGTTCCTGCTCCCCGCACCAAGCCAGGGGTGCGCGTCGTCAGTCCGGCACAGCCCGTGCCTAAGCAATCCGCTCCACCGATGTCCAGGCCAGCTCCAGCCAGCGGGGCCAGACCGGACCAGGGGCGCTACGGGGGGATTGTTGGAGGGTGGTGGTCAAGCCCGGAGCCGGAACCGCCTCCGAGGAGGAATGCTCACCCGGCCCTCCCCTGTTCGGTTTATGTTTGGCGCGGTCGCAGTCCGCGCCTTTGGGGGGGGGTACTGTCACGCCCTGGCTCTGGGACTCTGTTATGTTGAGCCAGGGTGTGTAGTTTCTATGTGTTTGTGTTCTAGGTTCATTATCTAGCTCATGTGTTTCTGTGTTGGCCGGGGTGGTTCTCAATCAGAGGCAACGAGTATCAGCTGTTGCTTGTTGTCTCTGATTGGGAACCATACTTAGGCAGCCTGTTTTCCACAGTGTATTGTGGGATCTTGTTCCGTGTTGGTTTGTGTATGTAACCAAGGACTTCACGTTATCGTTTTGTTGTTTTTGTTTCGTGTGGTGAATCTAAATAAAGTATGTTCACTTATCACGCTGCGCATTGGTCCACTCCCTTCAACGATCGTGACATTCGGGTAGCCTTCCACAAGCTTCCCACAATAAGTTGGGTGAATTTTGGCCCATTCCTCCTGACAGAGCTGGTGTAACTGAGTCAGGTTTGTAGGCCTCCTTGGTCGCACACACTTTTTCAGTTCTGCCCACACATTTCCTATAGGATTGAGGTCAGGGCTTTGTGATGGCCACTCCAATACCTTGACTTTGTTGTCCTTAAGCCATTTTGCTACAACTTTGGAAATATGCTTGGGGTCATTGTCCATTTGGAAGACCCATTTGAGAGCAAGCTTTAACTTCCTGACTGATGTCTTAAGATGCTGCTTCAATATATCCACATTATTTTCCTTCCTCATGATGCCATCTATTTTGTGAAGTGCACCAGTCCCTCCTGCAGCAAAGCACTCACACAGCATGATGCTGCCACCCCCGTGCTTCACGGATGGGATGGTGTTCTTCGGCATGCAAGCCACCCCCTTTTTCCTCCAAACATAACGATGGTCATTATGGCCAAACAATTATATTTTTGTTTCATCAGACCAGAGGACATTTCTCCAAAAAGTACGATCTTTGTCCCCATGTGCAGTTGCAAACCGTAGTATGGCTTTTTTATGGCTGTTTTGGAGCAGTGGCTTCTTCCTTGCTGAGCTGCCTTTTAGGTTATGTCGATATAGGACTCTTTTTACTGTGCATATAGATACCTTTGTATCGGTTTCCTCCAGCATCTTCACAAGGTCCTTTGCTGTTGTTCTGGGATTGATTTGCACTTTTCGCACCAAAGTACGTTCATCTCTAGGAGACAGAACGCGTCTCCTTCCTGAGCGGTCTGACGGCTGCATGGTCCCATGATGTTTATACTTGCGTAATATTGTTTGTACAGATGAATGTGGTACCTTCAGGTGTTTGGAAATTGCTCCCAAGGATGAACCAGACTTGTGGAGGTCTACAATTGTTTTTCTGAGGTCTTGGCTGATTTCTTTAGATTTTCCCATGATGTCAAGCAAAGAGGCACTGAGTTTGAAGGTAGGCCTTGAAATACATCCACAGGTACACCTCAAATTGACTCATATGATGTAAATTAGCCTATCAGAAGCTTCTAAAGCCATGACATCATTTTCAGGAATTTTCCAAGCTGTTTAAAGGCACAGTCAACTTAGTGTATGTAAACTTCTGACCCACTGGAATTGTGATACAGTGAATTATAAGTGAAATAATCTGTCTGTAAACAATTGTTGGATAAATTACTTATGTCATGCACAAAGTAGATGTCTTAACCGACTTGCCAAAACGATAGTTTGTTAACAAGAAATGTGTGAAGTGGTTGAAAAACGAGTTTTAAAGACTCCAACCTAAGTGTATGTAAACTTCCGACTTCAACTGTATGTATATATAAATATATAGTGTTCATTCATTAATTTCCAATGCAGTGGCTCCTGTTTGATGAGGTAGTCAGGGTCTCTGTGTGAGACTGCTCTAATTGTGTCAATGACTGTATAGGGAATTGTGTACAATATATGACACATTCCAGTGCATCTTAACATATCTATAATCAGAAACTTCGTAACATTACAACCGCCCCGTTGGACAGGACATAAACTACTATACTGCATATACAGTTATCCAGTTCTAAAAACATAACACAGAGATCAGTAATGACCAGAGCTCTCCTCCTTGCCCGTCCCGTCTGTGTGAGGCGACCTCTCTCCTGGTGGGATGTTGATCCCCAACCCCAGCTAGCCATAACGGCTGATGTTACCTCTTCTCCCATTGAAGCTGGCAAAACAAGGCCCGTCAGCTTTCTAGGTGTAAAACTAGTGCCACCTGCTGATGATCTAGGGAACACTCATTTCTCTCTATGCTCATAATTTACCCTGGGGTCCCTCGCTGCTCGGCTGCAGCCAAGAACACCAAATCAAGTCTACGATCACACAGACCCCCCACTGCTAGAGCTACAACTGGAAGCAAACAAGTAAAGTGGATTAAGTTCTTATGGAGAAGAAGAAAAACATTTCCTTTCTTTTTGTTTTCCTTTCAACGGTCAGAATCTAGGGCAGCAGACCCTACGTTGTCCCAGCCTCTTACTGTACTGTGCTGTATATGGTCATGGTAGTCTGTCTATTTTAATGGGCTTCCACGGTCTGTCTCTCCTTATACATAAGGGAGGCACTTCAGATGTCCCCAGGTCCTGCTGCTACTAAAGAGTTACAAGGCCATCCATGTTAAGGAGCTCAGTAAATCATACTATAGCGAACAAGTCTGTCCCAAACACTGGGGAAGATACGCACAGCAACTTCACACATTCCAAGTCAACTCTTAAAGTTAATGTGACAATAACACTGTCACTGAGACTCATACAGAAGTGTTACCATGGTAGGTGACTTTCACTACAACCACTCAACTGTTGGAACATCTGTCTCCATGGCGATACAGTTTCAACTCAAACAGTGACTCATCCTTAAGCTAAACAATGTATGGTCATAACGTCATTCCTCTCCTCTTTCTCACACTGCTGCCAGTGAAACGGGGAACCCCACTAAATATTTAAAAGGTGATTACTCATATGGGCCAGTTTGTGATCCTGATGCATAGAGACAGAGATAACCAGAGGGAAAAGTCTGAAGTCTCTCCCATGCAGATACATTTGACAGATTCACTATATCCTCTGGCTAACACCCCTTTACACTCCTTTAAATAATGTCCAATCCCTCGCTCTCTCTCCCCTAACATCCTTTTCCTGCACTCTGCCAATCGGAGGAAGAGAGACAGAGGCGAGGTGATAAGAACATTAGAATTCCAGTGACCTGCCAACTTGCCAAGAGAAATGGGTCTGCTTCCTCAACAGCCCGGCTGGTGTGTGTGTGTGTGTGTGTGTGTGTGTGTGTGTGCGTGCGCGCGGCATTTGTGTTTGTGTGTATTTGTGTGTGTGGTGGTGGGGGGGATCCTAACAGTACCTCCAGCCTGAGGGCCTGAGAGAGAAGAGAGACGCACAGCCAGGCTCATTGTTCCAGAGCCTGCGACCTTTCCATAGGGAACTGGCTGGTGGGTGGGAGGCTCATTTCCGAGGATTGTTGGAGGGCTTTGAAAACTTCAGAAGGAGGGGAGATAGGGTGTGAGTGCATCTGTGTGTGCGAGTATGTGTATGTGAGTGAGGGGAACAGGGGGAGGGGACTCTGAGCCTGGGGAGGAGGAGGGTGATTTTTGGAGATGGGGCGGGGTATTTCCAAAACCAACTCTTTAAAAACAAATAGCAGTCCCGGAGAGGCCTCAGATACTTTTGGCAGCTAGCTAGCGTGGATAGATCAGGACCAGGCAGGGAAGCAGACATGACAGCCTTCGGGGAACTGATGCTGCTGGTGCTGGGGCTGATGGTGACGGCTCACTGTGAGGTTAGGGCTAGAGACCCTGAGGTGGAGGAAGAGGACCAAGACCTGCCTGTGGAGAGAGGAGGCTGGGATACCCAGGGGGTGGGTGTCCACCCTGGACCTGGGGAGTTTGACATCCCCCACCAGAGGAATGGACCCCATGGCCACAGACCTGATGTCCCTGGCTCTGCCCACCACCCCGTGGGGCACGGACCACATGGGCAACCCCATCAGGCTGGTCCTGGACAACACCCCCTGGGTCTGCTGCCCAAGGAGACAGCACCTCCACCAGGAGAAGGAGGGAGCTACCCAGCCCGCACCGGGTAAGTGTTTGTTCACAGTAGCGAGCCACCTCTCAGCTGATAGGCAGCCTGTGCAGACAAGTATCTATAGGAGTAGAAAAACACACCACCTGTGGATCAACAAACACACACATGCACTTTCACAGCATGCACATCAAACAGAACATTAAATGTTTGGTCTACCAGCATGTATGTAATAGCAGCTACCACCCAGGTTGAGAACCTGGAGCAGCTCACAAATGCCTAGAAATACGGCTTTTATGAGGGATGGGTTTCAAATGGGGGTGTCTTCCTGCAGGCTTTTTCCCTCTCAGCACATTCAACTCTTTCCGACCTCTCCTATGTGGAAACATTTGGTATCTCTTTAATCTTCCTATGCAATCAGCACGAAGCTTGAGCTGATGGGGAAACTAAACAAAGGCAAAGTGTTTTAGCAAACATTTATGTGCCCTCAGCAGAATGAGTCTGTACACAAACTGCAATGGTTTCACTGGCTCGGTGTGTCATAAATAGGCTGAAATGGTTTTCCTCTCTATATAGCCAAGTTATCATTACCCAAGCCTAATCAATAGTAATTCATCTTAATTGCAGAGAAAGCCATAAGAGAGCCATAGGTTTCCTGTACTTTGTGCTCGAAGCCCAAGCTGCTGGCAGAGCCCGATCTTTGCTCCAGACGGTTACTGGACACCGTCATTATTCTAACCCAGATACATACATTACACCCCAAATTGCCTGATCCCCCGATAATGTGCTCCCTGAGGAGCTAGCCCAAACAGCCAGCGATTAGCCCTCCTTAAGAGCAGCCACTTAAACGTTTACTTAACGATGTTATTCAAAGAATACCTTATTTTTCTTGTGTGTCACCCCCATTACTGTAATGGAGTGCAGGTTTGGGCCGGGAAGCGTGCGGTTGTGACCTGTGATATCTCTGATGGACAATTTTCATTGGAGGCTCTTGTGGCGGAGGAGGCTGGGGGTCAATGGGAGGTTCACCTTGTGAAGAGAGGTATATTCAGTCAGTGTGTGAAGAGCTCTTACTCTGCAATGTAAAAAGTATACTGTCTTTTGCTACCTCTGAATTCAACCCAGGTTCATGGTTAGAATGGATATGTGAAAGGTATTCAGGCGAGTCCTTCCTCTTCATTGTTAAAAAATCTATGCACTTCGGCCTTGGAGTCTGTAAAGGGAAAACACATTGGTTGTTAAGAATAGAAAAAACATTTTTCTGCAAACTTCAATTTGTCAGTAACTGAATACTCCTTACATCTAAAGAGCACTGACTATGCAAAGGAAAAAATGTTTATTCTTCTTCTTTTCAAAATGTATTTTTGTTACAAACTTCTATTTGTCCTCCAAGAGTGTCTGAGTACCTTTAGCATATGAATAACACTGACTAACAGGTCAGATATCTCAGTTTATTTTAGTGCTGAATGGTTTTCAGTACAGTGTTTTTGGCATGTTTTCATCCCCAGGATGTAGCAGCTCCGGTTGTTTTTGGTGTGTATACTGCCTGAGCGAGTGCTCAGGGTCTAGGTGATGTGTGTGTGTGTGTGTGTGTGCTACGGTGCTAGGATAATTCCCTCCGGTGGTGCAGACATTGTGCTGCTGGGTCTGAGGATGTTCCATTCTACACGCTGCTGGACCCAGGTATGGAACAACGCGTGTGTTAGAACCCAGGGGGTGGGCGATGAATGTGGATATACGAGGGGCGTTGGGATGGACGGCTCACGGCTGACCTGAGGCTTTGGGCCATTGGTACGCATGGGGAGCTCTGAAAGGCCACTGACAGGGAGGGAATGTATTGTAGACCTGTGGACTACTACATTGTAGCTAGCAAACAGAACAGAACTATGTGGAAGCAAAGTGGAGCAGGCCCAGACAACAGGCTAAACAACTCAATACAAGAAGCCATGAACAAGGCAAGTATGAGGGAGGAGTAGTTAACTGCTTAAGCTGTTTTAATTAATTCTGCTCATATATTTGAATGCAACATGGTACATCCATCACACACTAGAGTGCACTATCTGTAGCATCATTGCTAATGGCAATGCATAATTAACTGTCCTTTTACGACTATCATATTTAATAAATGTCTTTCATTACGCACTATCATTACAATCAACATAATAGGAAGAAACGCTAAAAGAATGAAATCAAGACATGTCCAAGTCTAAAGCCTGGCCCTCCTGCTGGGGTCCATAGAGGGGTTCTGAGGCTGTACTGTCCCCCCTCGCGGGAGGCTCTGCTGCGGCCTCCGCTGATTACATCTCCCAGCTCCAGCTTCCAGAGCGGAAACTCCGTCTCATCCGCTCCCTTCCGATCCCTCAGCGGCCCGTCTCGGACCCCTCGGAAAAAGGGCATTCCGATCCACCACCAATGAAGCAGGAATGGCTGCGTGTCTAGAATGGATGTGTGGCAAATTCTGCTTGTTGATGCTATGCTCACTTCACCCTCACTCTCTGACTCACTGTCATAAAATATGGCCTAAGGGAATCAGCTTTGATTCTCAGTGTGCTTGGCCTCGGCCACTCTGCCAGTGGTATTGTCACAAAGGCCTTTTGTGTACAGTAGGGTTTCAGAGTCCATGTCGACTCAATGGCTAACAGGGCCCCCATACTCATCTGGTTATATTCTCTTTTGTTTCTGAATCAACATCATCTGCAGCAGTCAGGGTCCACACTTTGAACACTCTCCGACACAATGTGGCTTTTCTTGAACTAAATAAAAAATAAAAAAGGCCACAGCGCAGCATAAAGGGGACAGTGTTATCCAGGCCAGCTGTACTGTATAAGCAACAAGCAAATAGGAGTCTGGGCTTTGAAACCAAAAACAAAGCTCTTCTGTTAGTATTAGTTCTTCATTTATCTTGCAAATGGAGTATCTGGGTCTGGTATTGTTAGTGCTATAAAAAAATCTGATTTAGCTTTATGACATGACTCTTCAACCTTGAACAAAGACTACAGAGCCTCTTAGCTAACTTGGTTAGCCCTGTTTGGCAACCTCGGCTCTCCTCCCAGCCAGCCTAATCAAGCCCATTGACCTCCATTATTAGACTGTGGGAGAGGCCAGTGTCGCAGTGTGAACACAGCTCTAGTATCATATCACCATGATAGAGAAACGCACCACCAAAGCTGTATGACAGAGCTGTGTGAGGGTTTGCCAAATGTATTTGCTGTAGAAAGTGACTGGGGATAAGGATTCGGGATTCTTACATCTTCCCCAATGTGTGTATGTTGTGTGTGTTGTCTGTGTTTGTGTGTGTGCGCATGTGGATACCCGTGGGTATGCTGCGTGGCAGAGTGTCCCAGGATGGAGTAGGTTACGATGTATGAGAGCGTCAGACACTTCCTTCCTGGTCAAAGCCAGAGATGGGAGCCGTAGGCCTACAGGAGGTAATTACACAGCTATTGTGCTCTCCCAGGGATGGCCCTCAATGATGTCACAGCAGACCAAGAGGAAGTGACATGGGGCAGCTCTGACTCTGCCAAGCGAGTAGCACGGCGGTGGGGTTGAGCGAGGAAGGACCAAATATTGTAGATGTCAAGAGGTCATTGACAAATTGGAATTCACATTGAGAAATGGGAATTTCCAGTGAAAATGTTCAACTTTTCAACCAAGCAGTGTGGGGGAACCCTAATTCCTAGAATTTTGTGAACCACATTGCCACTGCTGGGGGCTGGTAAGAATCCAGTATGTACTTTTTTCTCTGCCAGAAAGTGAGTGCACATTTCACTTGTGATGACAGGAAGAGCAGGGGCTGCCAGACCGCAATGTTCCCATACTGTAAAAATTGCATAATATTGTTCTATTGTGAAATTTCGAAGACGAGCTCAAGTGCAGAACACAGTTTGTGACACACTAGAGGCCAAATCAAACTGTACGGGGGTAAATAGTCAAAGTATCAGTGACCCTCTAGTCATTTCACCAAACATTCCACACTCTGAGTTTACATTCAGTCCTGTTGAACGAGGATATTGCTCAATATTTTTTCTATTTGGTATTGGAAGGGGGAAATTATCCTTGTATTTGCTTTCTTATGGCAATCCTCATGTACTCAACATTTGTTAGACTAGCTTTTTTGTTGTGGCACTGTTTAGTCTGTGTAGGGATGAACACTGTGGAAGAGCTGGAGACTGTTAGAGGGGGTCAAGAGACCGTGTTCTCTCAGTTTATGAAATTTGAGATGAGTGCTGGGTTGTGTTGTGACACCCCTCCCCACTAACTCTTTATTCAGCATGAGTTCCCTCTTACAGAGCGCATGCATTTGTAGCTAACTGGGCCAAGAGAAAGACAGGCTTGGATCGGAGTGAGGGAAAAGGTGAACCCTCTTGTTCTCCTCATCAGTAAAGGTCAAATGTCTCCGGTCTACACATTCTCAGTCTCTGCAGTATAGAGTAAGTCTCAAACAAGCCGTGGTGGTACGTGTGTCTGCAATACGTGAAGGACTTTGGCTACACTCCAATATCAGGGCCACAATGATGCGGTCACTTGCTTGTTAACCACCTGTTGTCTTGGAAACAGATTAAGGACTTTGGTTTAATCCTCTCCACTCCTCTGCAGCTGCCCCCCTGAAGCTTCAAGGGTCTTTGTTTGGTCTGGCCTGGACACAGAGGTGGTGGATTGGAGAGCCAATGACACACTCATGTTGAGGATCTTCCAATACAGGGTCCTGTGAGTCGTACGGCCTGTACCATGACTGAGGAACAGAGAGGGGGGATAACGCTGAGAATACATAACTATGTCTAGAAGTTCTTCTTAACCTTGAATGGTTGAGCTAGGTCAGATAGAGCTTGTCCTATTTAGGAAACACTCACAGTCAAACACACATAAACACACACATGAAGAGTTCATTAACCCTTGACCGGCATCCCCTCCATACAATGCTACAGACCACAGTGGAAGGGAGTGGTTTGGCAAAACATAACAGCCACTTCACCTTGCCTTTCCATCCACATGGGGTCTCTGAGTCACAGGTTCAGCAAGGTGAGCCAGAAAAAACACTAAACACCAGATCTGATGTGTCACACTAACCGCTCCCCCCACCACATGCATCAGTTTGAGGGGCCCCGGGCCGCCTGCTCGCCTGGTGTTTACAGTCAATGCTTTCCCTCGTTGATGACCTCACGTCTGATCGTGTCCTGATTGCGAGGGACAAGGGGGCGTGGGGTTTGTCTCAGACAGGGCCACCCAGGAGCAGTGAAATCCATCCCCCCTCCACACCTGTTTCACCTGGGTCAGGGGCTGGTGGTGAGATGACCCCTGCTGTGATGTAGACTGACCCCTGGCTATCCTTCATCTTCTCCAATGGGCTGTTTGGACAGTCTGGGTCTGGAACAGGTTAGCACAGCTCAGTGCAGTGCTGTGCTGGTTAGGGAGGGTCAGAAGGGGAGAGCCGCTGTAGCAAATGAAGGTCATGGGGTTCAAATGGAATATGATGGCATAAGTCTCCAGAAACTGAGATAGATAAATACCTGTGGAATTCATTGAAATCAAACAATTCTGCTGGAAAATAAAAGTGAATACAATTTCCCTGATTAGATATGCAGACAGCAGTGTGAAGGTCCTGAAAAGAAAGCCAGCCTATAGATGCCTTTGGCCAGTCATTAGGTGCTACGTACAGTTGAAGTCAGAAGTTTACATACACTTAGGTTGGAGTTAATAAAACTTGTTTTTCAACCACTCCACAAATTTCTTGTTAACAAACTATAGTTTTGGCAAGTTGGTTAGGACATCTACTTTGTGCATGACACAAGTAATTTATCCAACAATTGTTTACAGACAGATTATTTCACTTATAATTCACTGTATCACAATTCCAGTGGATCAGAAGTTTACATACACTAAGTTGACTTTGCCTTTAAACAGCTTGGAAAATTCCAGAAAATGATGTCATGGCTTTAGAAGCTTCTGATAGGCTAATTGACATCATTTGAGTCAATTGGAGGTGTACCTGTGGATGTATTTCAAGGCCTACCTTCAAACTCAGAGCCTCTTTGCTTGACATTATGGGAAAATCAAAAGAAATCAGCCAAGACCTCAGAAAGAAAATTGTTGGCCTCCACAAGTCTGGTTCATCCTTGGGAGCAATTTCCAAATGCCTCAAGATACCACGTTCATCTGTACAAAAAAAGTATGCAAGTATAAACACCAAGGGACCACGCAGCCGCCATACCGCTCAGGAAGGAAACGCGTTCTGTCTCCTAGAGATGAACGTACTTTGGTGCGAAAAATGCAAATCAAGCCCAGAACAACAGCAAAGGACCTTGTGAAGATGCTGGAGGAAACAGGTACAAAAGTATCTATATCCACAGTAATACGAGTCCTATGTCAACATAACCTGAAAGGCCGCTCAGCAAGGAAGAAGCCACTGCTCCAAAACTGCCATAAAAAAGCCAGACTACAGTTTGCAACTGCACATGGGGACAAAGATCGTACTTTTTTGAGAAATGTCCTTTGGTCTGATGAAACAGAAATTGAACTGTTTGGCCATAATGACCATCGTTATGTTTGGAGGAAAAAGGGGGATGCTTGCAAGCCGAAGAACACCATCCCAACCGTAAAGCATGGGGGTGGCAGCATCATGCTATGGGGGTGGCTTTGCTGCAGGAGGGACTGGTGCACTTCACAAAATGTATGGCATCATGAGGAAGGAAAATTATGTGGATATATATTGAAGCAACATCTCAAGACATCAGTCAGGAAGTTAAAGCTTGGTCGCAAATGGGTCTTCAAAATGGACAATGATCCCAAGCATACTTCCAAAGTTGTGGTAAAATGGCTTAAGGACAACAAAGTCAATGTATTGGAGTGGCCATCACAAAGCCCTGACCTCAATCCTATAGAAAATGTGTGGGCAGAACTGAAAAAGCGTGTGCAATCAAGGAGGCCTACAAACCTGACTCAGTTACACCATCTCTGTCAGGAGGAATGGACCAAAATTCACCCAACTTATTGTGGGAAGCTTGTGAAAGGCTACCCAAAACATTTGACCCAGTTAAACAACTTAAAGGCAATGCTACCAAATACTAATTGAGTGTATGTAAACTTCTGACCCACTGGGAATGTGATGAAATAAATAAAAGCTGAAATAAATCATTCTCTCTACTATTATCCTGACATTTCACATTCTTAAAATAAAGTGGTGATCCTAACTGACCTAAGACAGGGAATTTTTACTAGGATTAAATGTCAGGAATTGTGAAAAAACTGAGTTGAAATGTATTTGGCTAAGGTGTATGTGAACTTCCGTCTTCAACTGTATGTGCTGAGAAGGTAGAGTTGGAAGCAGGGAATCATTATTTCAGCGCTACCCTTGGGAGGAACCAGGTGGGTGAGTCACCATGCCAGGCCTGAGAACTGAAGCTGGCAGTAAAAGGCCCATTAGTAATGGGGGGTAGATAGGGGTCAGGAGGGTGACTGCACTGGGAGCGATAAGACAACTCAACGACAAAGCAACTGTAAAAAAGAAAAATATTTGGGAAACGTCTTTTGAAATGTATGCCACCGAAACACACAAACAATACGTGCTTCAAGAGTCCAACAGCACCCAAATAAGGTTGGATGAAAAGGCAGATGTTGCTGAATGGATTTTTATTTTGGGCCCTGTTAACTCTAAATCAAGATAAATGAAAATGAACACTATGCATTATGACTGTTAAGTTATGGGAAAGTCCAGTGGTCAGTATCTGGAGAGGATGTTATGTTTGTAGCCCTGACCTGTAGAAACAGGAAGGATAACCACAGAATTGCAAACAAGCAAACTGTGAGACAGCAGCAGTAGCCGTTAAGACAGAGAGAGCTGTAAGCCCAGGAGGAAGACAGACTGACCTTCACCCCTCAGCTGTCTCCCAGCTTCCTGTTTCATTACACATACACTACCCTTCAAAAGTTTGGGGTCACTTAGAAAGGTCCTTGTTTTTCAAAAGAAAAGCAATTTTTTTGTCCATTAAAATAACATCAAATTGATCAGAAATACAGTGTAGACATTGTTAATGTTGTAAATGGCTATTGTTGCTGGAAACGGCTGATTTTTAATTGAATATCTACATAGGCGTACAGAGGACCATTATCAGCAACCATCAGTCCTGTGTTCCAATGGCACGTTGTGTTTGCTAATCCAAGTTTATCATTTTAAAAGGTTAATTGATCATTATAAAACCCTTTTGCAATTATGTTAGCACAGCTGAAAACTGTAGTGCTGATTAAAGAAGCAATAAACTCGCCTTCTTGAGACTAGTTGAGTATCTGGAGCATCAGCAATTGTGGGTTCGATTACAGGCTCAAAACGGCCAGAAATCGTCAGTCTATTCTTGTTCTGAGAAATGAAGGCTATTCCATGCGAGAAATTGCCAATAAACTGAAGATCTCGTACAACGCTGTGTACTACTCCCTTCACAGAACAGCGCAAACTGGCTCTAACCAGAATAGAAAGAGGAGTGGGAGGCCCCGGTGCACAACTGAGCAAGAGGACAAATACATTAGAGTGTCTAGTTTGAGAAACAGACGCCTCACAGGTCCTCAAATGGCAGCTTCATTAAATAGTACCCGCAAAACACCAGTCTCAAAGTCAACAGTGAAGAGGCGACTCCGGGATGCTGACCTCCTAGGCAGAGTTGCAAAGAAAAAGCCATATCTCAGACTGGCCAATAAAAAGAAAATATTAAGATGGGCAAAAGAACACATACACTGGACAGAAGAAGATTGGAAAAAAGTGTCATGGACAGACGAATTGAAGTTTGAGGTGTTCGGATCACAAAGAACAACAATTGTGAGACACAGACCAAATGAAAAGATGCTGGAGGAGTGCTTGATGCCATCTGTCAAGCATGGTGGAGGCAATGTGATGGTCTGGGGGTGCTTTGGTGGAGGTAAAGTGGGAGATTTGAACAGGGTAAAAGGGATCTTGAAGAAGGAAGGCTATCACTCCATTTTGCAACGCCATGCCATACCCTGTGGACTGCGCTTGATTGGAGCCAATTTCCTCCTACAACAGGACAATGACCCAAAGCACAGCTCCAAGCTATGCAAGAACTATTTAGGGAAAAAGTAGTCAGCTGGTATTCTGTCTATAATGGAGTGGCCAGCACAGTCACCGGATCTCAACCCTATTGAGCTGTTGTGGGAGCAGCTTGACCGTATGGTACGTAAGAAGTGCCCATCAAGCCAATCCAACTTGTGGGAGGTACTTCAGGAAGCATGGGGTGAAATCTCTTCAGATTACCTCAACAAATTGACAACTAGAATGCCAAAGGTCTGCAAGGCTGTAACTGCTGCAAATGGAGGATTCTTTGACGAAAGCAAATTTTGAAGGACACAATTATTATTTCAATAAAAAAATCATTATTTCTAACCTTGTCAATGACTACATTTCCTATTCATTTTGCTATATTTCCTATCCAAATTCATTTCATGTATGTTTTCATGGAAAACAAGGACATTTCTAAGTGACCCCAAACTTTTGAACGGTAGTGTAGATATTGCACAGTATCAAAGGAATGACGCTGTATGCTTGTGTCCTCTTCCAGAAACTGGTGTGCATTCGTGCACCGCCGCATTGAAACCATGGCTGTATCCTGTGGCAAAGAACAGTACACCATCAAGTCCCAGAGCCCCTGTCCCAATGGCACGCCTGACTGCCAACTTGTCATGTGAGTTCAGCCCACTGTGCATTCAAACGTCAACTTCAACCACATGTTAACAGTACACTGCATTACATTACAGATTGACAATGCACACTCAAATCCCCTTGCATTGCACATTGCTCAATGCAGCATTCTCATATAATAACAATAATAATATCTTATTTACGATCCATCAGTTCAATTTCAGGCGAAAACCAATGTGTGTGTGTGTGTGTGTTTGTAACCTTGTTTTCTGTGTGTTTAGGTACAAGCTCTCTACCCGGCCAGTGTACAGAGAGAAGCAAAAGATCTTCACAGCCCTGTTGTGGAGGTGCTGCCCAGGACATGGAGGGGAGAACTGTGAGGAAACAGGTACTGAAACAGAGCTAGACACAACTGATACACACATGCTGTATACTGTAGGCCCCTATAAGTCAATGAGCATCAAAACGAGTGTTAGTAATTGCATTTTGGCATAAGAAGTAACCTTACGGTGCAATATGCCTCCACTGGCCTACTCTAGACGTTCTCCTGGATTACTTGATGAGTTTGGCTCGGACTCTTTTTACTAATAGTATGATTTAGGGTCTTTTCGTTCAGCGACAAATCTCGAGTAGATTTCCTGTGTGTGAAATGGCCCTTAACTCGGCGAGAGAGACCGGCTGAGAAAATCATGTGTTTACGAAAGCTGGTGGAACCAATAAAAGTAACATCCTCTCCCTGCGCTCCTGCTCTCCTCTCGCTTCCTCTTTCTCTCTCCCTCCCTCTATTCCTCAGTGGCTGATGGCCATGTGTCTGACCCGGCGGACCCTACGTTGGCAGGACGACCACATCCAGGAGACACTGAGCCTCACCACACAGGTAGGTCTGCTCATCTGACCCGTCTGTTTACATGTTGGGGGGGGGGGTGACTGGGTGAGCTGGCCTTCAATCAAACGCCCCGTGCCGCCCTCTCTGACTCAAACAAACTGAACAAACCGAGGAAACGGCAGTGGGCCAGGAGAACAAGCATTTGTGTAAAAGCTATAGCAGGCTGTGGGAAGTTCGTCACCTCCCAGGGGAGGGAGGAAAGGGTGTGTGACAATTCTCAAGGCATCAAGCTAGGCTGTAGAGGGGGTGTGACCCTATCCCACCCCACACATGTAGCTAGGAGCCCAAACACACCGAGTCACCCGTACACAAACACATATGCAGGCATGCAGAAAAAATACTGAAAACAGGCAGGAGCTGAGACACTAAAAATAACCCTCTGCCCTTTTAGGCCAGTTCTAGGCCAAGATAAAGACGTAAAGTTCCCCGTTATCAGCTGGTCCGCTCTCAGTCCCTCCACGCCCCTCATTGAGAGGGCTTCCTAAACCGCAAAGGTCTCATATAATTAATTCTTCACGACTACTGGAGTCCAGTAGCTATTATGTTACACACACTAATCAAGCACACACACAGGGTTGGCTGAAGTTGGGTCAGAAGTGGGGGACAGAGAGCTCACCCAAGGCTATGGTTCTCATGGTCAGGGGAGAGAGACACAGCTTCTACTCTGTGCCACTGTGTTGAATGAAAGCCTCTCATAACATACCATCTATCTGTCTGTTATCGGTCTGTCTAGGTGCACAGTCTAGACTCACCCACCAGGCTGAGAGGGAGCAGAATGACTTCCAGGTGTCGGAGAATCCTCTGTACGAACCCCATGCCTCAGAGGCTGACAACAACAACACACACACAGAGTCCCCCTCATACCCTCGACAGGCCCAGGAGCACATCCCTCACCATGGCTACGACCACCCCCACAACCCTTACCCCAACCACCACCAGCGGGACTTCAACCATGGAGGTAAGTTGGGACCCTAGAATCACTAGTACTGTACTAACATCATGTTAATTCACACTGGGAAAAAGTTAGGATGCCAGGATTGTGACTGTGCTTCAGGAGGTAATCAGGGCCATGAAAAGGAGACAGGGTAATCATCAACACCCCTAAAATCAGGGCCTGAAAAGGAAGCAGGGTAATCATCAACACCCCTAAAATCAGGGCCATGAAAAGGAGACAGGGTAATCATCAACACCCCTAAAATCAGGGCCATGAAAAGGAGACAGGGTAATCATCAACACCCCTAAAATCAGGGCCATGAAAAGGAGGCAGGGTAATCATCAACACCCCTAAAATCAGGGCCATGAAAAGGAAGCAGGGTAATCATCAACACCCCTAAAATCAGGGCCATGAAAAGGAGGCAGGGTAATCATCAACGCCCCTAAAATCAGGGCCATGAAAAGGAAGCAGGGTAATCATCAACACCCCTAAACCCATCTATCAACCTCTTTGAGACCCTCATGCAAAGACACATATTGGACACACATACTCACTCACTATCTCATAGTCAATAAAAAAAACTGTGAGGAATGGGCCATTGTTAATACAATGTTAATGTTTATACAAAATGTTAATACACTGACAGTGAAGTACTCCTATTTCTCTAAGCTCCTGTCTGGCATGTTAACACTCCCAGCTGTTATTTATGCACTACTGTCTGGTCAACTACCTGTCTCATCCACATCCTCTGAGAGAATCGACAGGCTTTAGACAAGTGCAGTAAATAACCCACAGTTGACTGGGGGAAGGCATGACCAGGGAAAATATACGTACATCTATGGGGAGCATTTCCACAACTCCATCCCTCCGCAGTGACACCTCCAGTTTAGTGCCCCCCCCCACCCCCTTTATACTCATTACAGCTTCCTTCTCAGGAAATCCTCTCTTTCTTCTGTAAAAAATGCCCCCCCAATACATTGTGTGTGGATGATGTAATCTGCAGTGGGATGGTGATATAGAGAGCCTAATATAGTGTGAGGTCTCATATTATAGCCACACACAGTCAGTGGTGGAAAAAGTACCCAATTGTCATACTTGAGTAAAAGTAAAGATACCTTAATAGAAAATGACTCAAGTAAAAGTGAAAGTCACCCAGTAAAATCCGATTTGAGTAAAAGTCTAAAAGTATTTGGTGTTAAATATACTTAAGTATCAAAAGTAAAAGTAAAAGTATAAATCATTTCAAATTGCTTTTATTAAGCAAACCAGACGGCACCATTTTCTTGTTTTTTTAATTTACAGATAGCCAGGGGCACGCTCCAACACTCACACTGTTTAGTGAGTCCGCCAGATCAGAGGCAGTAGGGATGACCAGGGATGTTCTCTTGATAAGTGTGTGAATTAGACAATTTTCCTGTCCTGCTAAGCATTCAAAATGTAACGAGTACTTTTGGGTGTCAGGGAAAATGTATGGAGTAAAAAGTACCCTATTTTCTTTAGGAATATATTAAAGTAAAAGCAAAAGTTGTCAAAAATATAAATAGTAAAGTAAAGTACAGATACCCCCCAAAAGTAGTACTTTAAAAGTATTTTTACTTAAGTTCTTTACACCACTGCACAAAGTGAGGGGTGTCATAGTTTTTGCTGTTGTGGTACATTCTCACTTCCTGTGACATATTTGGGAAAGACTCAACAAGCTAAGGCCATGACGTAAAGTCTGTATGAACAAATTACTGATCAGACTTCCATCAAGTCAGACTAAAGACAATCGGCCTACATGTTATTGTTCAAGTTTCTTTTTAGAATAGCAGGGAAATTAGTGAAGGGGCTAGCTAGAGTATGTCAGCCTGCACATCTATTTGAAAACACTACTTACCTACTTCTTTTGATCTGTGTGATTTTTTTAGAGAACCCAACCAACTCTTCCAACTTCGTAAAACTCTCATGGCAGGGACGACCTGATTTCCTCTCTCATTGTGACCTCACTGTATCTGACCTCTTAGTGGGACCGCATGTGGGAACAGTTTTTTTCTCCCTGAATTAATGGAGAGTCTTTCCAATGTTATTAGAAAAACAAGCCCTAAATGATGAAAGGCCCTCTGATCACATAGATCACACTTTAGAGCACAAACAGAAACAGCTTGGAGGGGGGGTCTGGACTCTTTCCAGATATAAGGGTGACAGCGTAAGAACTGTGACTGATTCCCAGGGGGCATAAATGCATAACCTCGCAAGGGGCGTGATCTTGCGAGCTTACATGAATGTTCGCTGCACAGCAGTAATCAGTCTGGTAATTATGAGGCTAATACATGTGGGTGGGGGAATTCAATGTCAGACATACACACACACACAGACAAGCATGCGTGTACACACACACACACACAGACAAGCATGCGTGTACACACACACACACACACACACACACACAAACACACACACACACACACTTTCTAGAATCCCTGGAGCATGTACCATTCTAAAAGGAATTGCGTCCATTAGGGCCGTCTCTGGGGTACAAGAACACTGCCATGAAGCAAACCCATCCAACAATAAATCACTGGGCTTTCTTGTAAACAAAGAGGTTCAGTCAGGAAGACCAATACATAGGGGAAATTAAATGTCCAAATATAGGTCTGAAAATGTTATTATTCCTATTTTTGGCAGCTTGGCATTTGACTTTGAAAACAATTTTGGTTGAAGATTTCTTGAGAGACAAAAGGTTCTCATAACTGTTCCTAAGAACTAATGGCACAACTGATATGAATGAATGGCCTTTACAAGAGAATACATTCTAACAGGTATTGAAAAGGAACCTTGCTTTGCTCCTATACACATTAATGTAGATGTACAATTGTTGAGGTGTCATTTTTTTTACATTTTAGTCATTTAGTAGACGCTCTTATCCAGAGCGACTTAGTTAGTGAGTGCATACATTCTTTTTTTATTTTTCATACCCCTGTGGGAATCGAACCCACAACCCTGGCGTTGCAAACGCCATGCTCTACCAACTGAGCTACATCCCTACCGGCCATTCCCTCACCTACCCTGAACGACGCTGGGCCAATTGTGCGCCGCCCCATGGGTCATCTCAGCCTTGTGCACAGTTACAAAGTGGATATGTCTAAAACTGAAAATGTGTCTTGTTCTGATGCCTTATACCGATTGACGTGAGTAAATATTGTGCTCTGACTTCCTGGTTTGTCTCCCAGATCCAATCAGGGATGAGGTGGAGGCTGTCCCTCTACTGCCCTACCAAGACTCCCAGTCTCCCCTCCCTCTGCCCCACATGATGGCCCTGCTGATGTCCCAGCTCCAGCCCATGTTGGATGGCTTCAACCGCACCTTGGAGCACCTAACCCAGGAGGTCGAGGGTCTGTCCCGGGATGTGGCTCAGCTCCGGAGCTCTCAGTGGGAGGTGGAGGAGGAGGCCATGCGCGGAGCAGGGGCTGGAGAGGGTCCCGAAGCCTTGGAGGCTAAGCTGGAGCAGCGTTTCCAAGACATCAAGGAGGTGAGGAGGGAACTGGAGAGACATAGAGCTGAGATGGCGGACAGGCTACACTCCCAGCATGCCATGCTGCACTATAACATCTCCAACTTCAAGACAGACATTGACGTCAAGATCAAACGCAACCACAAGATATTACAGGTCAGTGAATCCTCATTAATGGATCTCATGGCATGGTGATGTAACCATTTAATAATTAAAAACTTTTAGACTTAGTTCCTCACTTGCGTTAGTAACATACCCTTTTAGACTTGCAAATTATGGGCATTAAGTGAGAAAAACATTCTTCATGTCTTTCATGGCTCCCGGGTAGGTTAATCTCCGGTCCATGAATGCCACCCTGTCAGACATGAAGCTGGAGCAGGAGCGTCTGAGCTTAGTGCTCCAGAGGGACCTGACCAGCCCAGGGGCCAGGAGAGAACCCAGCCAGGTCCAGCCCAGTCAGGCCCAGCAGCCTCCAGAGGACTCAGCAGTGTGGGAGGCTATCGCCCGTCTGGACAACAAGGTCGTCAACAACACAGTGAGGGTAGATGCCCTGGTTGAAGACCTAGATATGGCCAATGACAACGTCCTGGACCTGAAGAGGGGCTTCCGAGGCCTTGAGGAGAACATTGCCCAGACGGGGAGGAACAGCCAGATCCAGTTCATGGAGACAGGCCTGGAGGTGGAGGCGGCTAAAGTAGCTGTGCTGAACCGCGTCAATGAACTGGCCAGCAACCTGACCATCCGCTCGGAGCAGCTGCAGGAGATGGAGACTGACATGGACTACCTGTACACACAGTTCTACCAGAACGTCAGCACTGCCGGAGACTGTGACTGCAAGGCATTCACCGCCTCCATCTCCCGCCTGGAGCAGGGCCTGACCAACGTCACTGAGCTGGCCAACGACAACCGGCTGGCCCTGGATGGGAGTACCGATGCTGGGTCGGAGCGCTGGGGTCCCTCTGTGGAGGACATCTACCAGGGGTTGGATCACGTCAAGGCCTCCCTGGCCTTCGAGCAAGAGAAGAGCAGAACTCTCCAACACAACGTGACTCAGCTGCTGGCCTCCGTCCTGGGCAGCCAGAGGGACGTGCTCAGCCTGCGGGAGAGCGACGAGAGGTTGGCAGCTGAGATGCGCCACCTCTCCAGCTCCTTTTCCTCTCTGTTGAAGGACGCCATCCGCCACAATGACGTGCTGGAGATGCTCCTGGGGGATGAGGTGATGGAGTTCATGGACTGGCCCCTCCACGAGCAGGAGGCCCACTCCATCACCGCGCTACAGAAGAGGCTCCACCACATGCAGGAGCAGATCAGGGGCCAGAACCTCAGCCTCACCACCCTGCTGGAGGCCGCCCGGGCAGAGGAGGTCCCGTCCTCAGACGAGCCCTCCGTGCTGGTAGACTTGGCCTCCCGCGGGCTGAAGAGGAGGAGTGGAGACCAGAGGAGTGACCACCTCATGGACTCAGCAGCCTCTGAGGACCGGCAAGACTACTCGGACAGTGACCTGTGGAGCCTTGCGAAAGCAGTGGAGGAGCTGGGGGAGAAAGTCAACAGGCTGGAGTACAGGCCTTGCCCTGCCAGCTGCAACAACACCAAAGACAGCGCCTCTGATGATGTGAAGGCCAAAATGCAGGCGGAGGTGGCCTGGCTGAGGAAGGTTCTAGAGAATCATCTGCGGCTCTTTAAGAATGTCTTCAGTAACTCAGAGGGGCTGGCCGACTCAGAGAGCACCCTGGATCTGGACCAGCTGTGGGCCCTGATGAAGAGGAAGGAAAGGAAGAGACAGAGGAAGCACAATGACAAGAAAGTGGGGATCAAAGACCATATTGGAGAGAGAGCTAACCTTCGCAGCAGGAGGGATACATCAGGTAGGCATCAATCTATAAAAGGACAAAAACACACAATCACATATCTACAGGTAACTGCCAAAATAAAGGAAACACTTGAGTAAATGAGGGATACAAATTATATTGAAAGCAGGTGCTTCCACACATTTACATTTACATTTTAGTCATTTAGCAGACGCTCTTATCCAGAGCGACTTACAGGTGTGGTTCCTGAGTTAATTAAGCAATTAACATCCCATCATACTTTGGGTCATGTTTAAAAATGCCCAGTTCCCCATTTTTTTGGCTACCATGGCTAGAAGAGATCTCAGTGGCCTTTTCTCAACTGCATAATCCTCACGTCCTCTCCTTGCCTCCTTTTCAAAACCCATTGAAAGAGAAGGTCAGAGGGGAGGGACCTCTGGCTTTCTCATCAAAAGGGTTTTGAAAAGGAGGCGAGGAGAGAGGAGGACGTGAGCAGTACGCAATTGAGATTCTCCCAAAGACTTCGAAAGAAGGGTCTCAAAAGGAGCATAGGGGGTTAAAAGGGTGTGTGTGTGTTTGTCAGTCACCAGATCACAACCCAATTGAACACTTATGGGAGATTATGGAGCGGCGCCTGTTTTCCACCAATCAACAAAACACCAAATTATGGAATTTCCCGTGGAAGAATAGTGTCGTATCCCTCCAATAGAGTTCCAAACACTTTTAGAATCTATGCCAAGGCGCATTTAAGCTGTTTTTGCAGGTCAACGCCCTATTAAGACACTTTATGTTGGTGTTTCTTTTGGCAGTTACCTGTACCTCTATCATGCTGGGCCACATTTCTTTCTAACCTCCACTAAGATCAGAATGCACTTTAAACAAAGAAAGATCATTGGAGATCTATACAGTGCAACACCCTCAAGTAAGTGTTAGTAATGGGTTAAAAATAGTTGCTTAGCATTACTGAGAGAATCACCATTACCAGCAACCCTAATAGACAACACAAGACTGCCCCCTGGTGAACAAAAATGTTTTATTTCAGGCTTATAAATGGTCTAAGCATAAGTATAGTGAGTGTCTATGGCAAGGGTTCAAATGAATAGATAGCAGAGAACAGCTGATAATTCCCTGTCTCTTCTCTTTCAGTACTATCTAAGTTGAGGGACAATCCCCTGATGTTTCTGGCCAGAAGCATACAGCGCAGCAGACCAAGTGACAGTAGCCTGCTGGTGTTTGAGAACACATCCCTAAACAGTGGCCAGGCGTACTCAACTCACACTGGGGTGTTCCAAGCACCGTTAGCAGGGGTCTACCTCTTCGTGCTAACACTGAACTTTGAACCTGGCCCCTCGCTGTCTGGGCTGAGGAGAGAGAACGGGGAGCTGGCTGCCACTCTGCATCAGGACAAGATGGCATCGTATGGCCCCGTCACCAGTGTGTGTCTCCTACAGCTGCGGCAAGGAGAGGAGCTCCACCTTGAACTGTATGGGGGGACTCTGGTGACTGATGACCCTAACGACAACATCTTCGCTGGGCTTCTCCTCCATCACACCACCTGAGGGAGCTGTGTCTGCTCTGCAGTCAGAAGAGATGTTGGACTGAGCTAAATCAATCACTAGACTGACAGCTGCTACGCCCCCCGTGTTTCAATCCCTTACATTGATATTGGGAGGAGGAGTGTATATAGAAGGTTAAGGGAGTATAAACATGTTTCCTTTGTCAAACAGTATACCACTTAAAGCGTTGCAATACAACTTCCCTGAAGTTATTGTAGGCTGTTATAAGGGAAACAGGAGCATGAGCATTCTAGACCATCAAACCATATTCTATAGAAACACTGACTGAGAATATAAGGTGGGCTCTTTAAGATATATCACATGCTCCCCTCCATGCTACCATAATACAGTGCCTTCAATGCTTTATGACTGCAACATTGCTTATACATGTTATATACAGTGCATTCTGAAAGTATTCAGACCCCTTGACTTTTTCAACTTTGTTTCGTTACAGCCTTATTCTAAAATGTTTCCATTGATCATCCTTGAGATGTTTCAACAACTTGGGAGTCCACCTGTGGTAAATTCAATTGATTTGACATGATTTCGAAAGGCACACAACTGTCTATATAAGGTCCCACAGTTGACAGTGCATGTCAGAGCAAAACCCAAGCCATGAGGTCGAAGGAATTGTCCGTAGAGCTCCGAGACAGGATTGTGTCGACGCACAGATCTGCGGAAGTGTACCAAAAAATGTCTGCAGCATTGAAGGTCCCGAGAACACAGTGGCTTCCCTCATTCTTAATTGGAAGAAGTTTGGAACCACCAAGATTCTTCCTAGAGCTGGCCGCCCGGCCAAACTGAGCAATCAGGGGAGAAGGGCCTTGGTCAGGGAGTTTACCAAGAACCCGATGGTCACTCTGACAGAGGTCCAGAGTTCCTCTGTGGAGATGGGAGAACCTTCCAGAAGGACAACCATCTCTGCAGCACTCCACCAATCAGGCCTTTATGGTAGAGTGGCCAGACGGAAGCCACTCCTCAGTAAAAAAAGGCACATGACAGCCCGCTTAGAGTTTGCCAAAAGGCACCTAAAAAGACTCTCAGACCATGAGAAAGAAGATTCTCTGGTCTGATGAAAGCAAGATTGAACTCTTTGGCCTGAATACCAAGCGTCACATCTGGAGGAAACCTGGCACCATCCCTATGGTGAAGCATAGTGGTGGCAGCATCATGCTGTGGGGATGTTCTTCAGCAGCAGGGACTATGAGACTAGTCAGGATCGAGGGAAAGATGAACAGAGCAAAGTACAGAGAGATCCTTGATGAAAAACTGCTACAGAGCGCACAGGACCTCAGACTGGGGCGAAGGTTCACCTTCCAACCTGACAACGCAGGAGTGGCTTCGGGACAAGTCTCTGAATGTCCTTGAGTGGCCCAGCCAGAGCCCGGACTTGAACATCTCTGGAGTGACCTGAAAATAGCTGTGCAGCGATGCTCCCCATCCAACCTGACAGAGCTTGAGATGATCTGCAGAGAAGAATGGGAGAAACTCCCCAAGTACAGGTGTGCCAAGCTTGTAGCATCATACCCAAAAAGACTCAAGGCTGTAATCACTGCCGAAGGTGCGTCAACAGAGTACTGAGTAAAGGGTCTGAATACTTATGTAAATGTGATATTTCCGTTTTTGCTTTGTCTAAAAACCTGTTTTGCTTTGTCATTATGGGGTATTGCGTGTCGATTGATGAGAGAAAAATACAATTTAATCAATTTTAGAATAAGGCTGTAATGTAACAAAATGTGGAAAAAGTCAGGGGGTCATGAATACCTTCGAATGCACTGTATAAGGACCAGGTATAGAAACAGACCATTTTCTACAAGTCACTGGCTCCATATTGACTTCAGTGAACATAAATCAATGAAGTGAAGGGACAGAGGAATTGATTGTGTGAAGAGGTGAACTCTATATTACAGTACATCAATATGCTGTATATTTCTCCTCCAGCAGATGGAAATGCTAGACACCTTACTGGTACACAGTCAAACCCACAGTTCATTGGAAGAAACAAATGTAAATAACTCAAGACCGGACCACAAAGTTGTGTAGTAAAATAAGGTTATTTACTTAAAAATGGATACATTGGACAGGCTGTATACAGAATAGTTTTCTTTCCTTGGTAAACTCATAAAGGCACCTTTTAACCAGATGCTGTACAAAAACACATTAAAGATTTACATATTAGAGATTATTCTATATGGTTTTCTTGCATGTTACAAAGAGAGGAAAACACTAGTTACTGCTTGGGTGAAGTATTTTTCTTAAATATCTACCATGTACTGTTAGCTTAATTCACAGAGAAACTGTCCTGACACACACACACACACACAGGATTTCAGCAGACATGCACACTTAACCAACATGTGCACACATCATGAGCGCAAACCCACAAGCACTGCTCTGCTAAAGCTATGCAAGATAGGTTGTTTTATGCATTTGTATGGACACAAGTGAAGCAAAAGCCAACATTAGACAGAAGAGACAGCAGACACAATAGGAGCAGGGACTTGGAAGAGAACGTTTGAAGAATACACTGGCCAAGACATCGATCCTATGCAAGAGGTTCAACCATCATTTATCAGGGGGACAATCTGTGACAAGGCTTCCTCGTCATCATTACACTGGCAAACAGACTGTAAAGAGGTAAGGACAGTGGTTCAGATGAGGACATTATTTAAGTTCTCACTTCAGATCTTTCCTTTTCTGTCCTGTATGAAAAGTGAAAGATCTAAATGTAGAAATGCAGTTGCTCTTGTGGTAAATGGTATTCAATGGGCTGGCTCTGCCCACTGCACTGGCCCACAGATAACATCACTAAGGAAACCTGCGGATGTGTATATATTTGCATGTGTCCTGAAACAACCTGAAGTAAACAGTCTAACTAGTTTCACTTCAGTGTTGCAATCTACTCTATGTTCACTCTGTACTTGGCCGTAATTCTGTCTCTCACACACACCTGAGGAAGCTTGATGGATCAACACAAACTTCATTGGCATTACAGCTCCAAATGTTTTTAGCACAAGTAACTGTCATTTACCATAGCATTGAGTAAGCTATATATTTGTACTTTAAGTTAGTAAAATATGGCATATTTTCCAAACTAATGTGGACTTCTTGTAAGCACTATGACAAACCTCTGACAATGGACATGGAGTACCCTAGAAGACAAACCATTACTAATCAATTGCTCAGACCCTTAGCAATGAACAAGTCTTCATTACCGCACAGTCCAATGGCCGAGCTCACATGATGTTTGGCAATATGAAAGTTGGCCACTTATAGAATATCTATCTATAACTCAGCATGGAATTAAAAGCAATAGAGAAGAGCTGGAGGGAAATTAAGCTTATAATATCTATGAATGTGGACAAGACTCAATGTTTAGTGTTCTGGACTTTCCTCCCAGAAGACATACCGTATATACACAGAAAGGAACAAATATGAATTAGGGGAAAGCATAGCGACAGGACGGGACACAGATCCACTTCCAATTTACACATTTCCATCTGAATACAATTATGCGTCAAATATTTTTTGCCCCAGACATCCTTTTCATGTCAAATGTGACAGAACATAGATTTTTTGAGAAGTTACTGATTTGAAGTTTGTTGTAGGAAGCACAGTGAGTCGTTGATTTAAGGCAAGTGGGGTCTCCCCTCTTACAATGTCCTTGGTTGTCTGGATTGCTTGTAGCTCTTGAAGCAGGTTGCGTTTGAAGCCCACTGGACGTGAATACCATTGCGGCATAGTTCTTTTTTGTTTGTAGGCACAGCATCTATCGATCAAATATATTTACATATAACTTCACATATAATGATAGTACCTTATTTCATAATTACTCTACTTAAGAGTCAAGATATATATTTCAATATGGCAGGAGAAGACTGTCCTGAAGAGAAAGAAATTGGCATAAACTGTTTACAGGCAAAAATGGAACATAATTGGCGGGTGGTGACGATTACGAGGCCAGTGTCTGTTTGAAGTGTGGCTCTAAGGTTCCTACATCATATTACTTTCTGTCCATCAACATGTGAGCAGGAACATGGCCTCCCCCTCCTCACACCATGTCATGTTTTGGCTTTCACAGAAAGCATAAATCACAGCACGTTGCATCCTACAACCAAGAACTCCTCTGGCCAGGGAGGGAATAGGTGGGAGAGTGAACCTACACAGTTTCCTTTAGTCAAAACACACCTCTGTAGCAGCATCTGTCCGTTGTGGTTATAGAGATTCATGAGGGTTGAGGCTCAATGCCCAAGGCGCTGTGACAGGATCCTTTTCCTCCCATCCCCTTTCTCCTCCCCCGCCTCCTGAACAGAGGTGACATTCTGCATCATGACATTAGGACACACTGGGGAGTTCTGGCTCTCGGTCAGGCTGTGATGAGTATGTAGGGGTAAAATATCACATTTTGATGTCCTGTGATTCCACCATTTTGGCCAGGGTCTTCTTGACTCGTAAGATGGTGAGGCGCGAGGCGGGGTTGTGGGCCCAGCACTCAGACATCAGCTTCAGCATGGTCCTCAGACACTGTGGAGAAAACACACACCATTTTAGGAGTTGTTTTTCCTTCTGCTTACGCTACTAAATGCAAATGCATTCTCTAACACTGCTAGAATTGGATAATCACCTTTGTGTAAATGCAAAGTATATGCTCTTCAGTGTGCAGTCAAAACAATATTGCCCTGATACATCATGTCCTCGCAGTGACACAGATGGTGACATTCGTGGCTAGCCCCACCCTCAGACTCACCTCGTCACTGTTCCACCTGTTGGACACGGTGGGCCGCAGCCCTTTGACACACACCACCTCCAGCATGTCCTCAAAGGACGGGTCTGACGGTACCATATCACAGTATGGCAGCTGGTGGTCCTCCACTATACCTGAGAGAGACGAGAGAGAGATAACGGTGTGCAAATGAACACTGGTTCAACAATACCGTCAGTGTAGTACTTTTCATAAACAGCTGAAATCTTATGCCCATTACTGCTTTTGTAGTGACTGGTATGGAATGCCAGTATCATGTGTACATAAATACCGGTATGCCTGTAGATTCATGACTACACGTGTGTGTGTGTGTGTGTGTGTGTATGTGTGTGTGTGTGTGTGTATGTGTGTGTGTATGTGTGTGTGTGTGTGTGTGTCCCGTACCTCCTGTTATACAGCGGCGGGCAATCTCCCAGATGATGAGACCGTAGCTGTATATATCAGCCATGATGTAGGCCTGGAAGTGGTTCTTGTTCAGGGTCTCGTCCAGCACCTCTGGGGCCATGTACCTCCGGGTCCCCACCCGTGTACTCAGAGGGACGTCTACCTCGTTGGTATCACTGAGGACAAGAGGTTGAAGAACAGGAATTCAGAATAACCTACAGGGAAATAGTCAAAGGTGCCCCAGAAACAACAGTTCAGAACTGTTCAGAAGAACAGCCATAAGTGAAAACATGGGTTTTGTATATTAGGGCAACACAAAATGATTGTTGCTCATTGGACAAGTTCAGGTACTCCCCCTCCCTGTTTGTCAGTTCTTTATTTTGGTGCCTAATAAAGAGAACCTTGTTTAAAACCTCCATGACTGAGCAGTATCCTACCTGTTGAACTTGACGGCCAGGCCCAGGTCGGCGATGCAGCAGGTGCCATTCTTCTTCATCAGGATGTTCTTACTCTTCAGGTCTCGGTGGGCGATGGCCGGCTTGCCCTGGGTGCCATAGATCTCTGTGTGGAGGTGGCACAGGCCACAGGCAGCAGAGTAGACCAGTCGCAGCAGGCTCTGGGTGTCCAGCGTGGTGAACTTCAGGTAGTCATACAGGGAGCCGTTCTCATGGTAGTCTGTGATGAGGAAGAGCTGTGTGAAGGCCCCAGTACCCTTGATGTCTGCCGCAATGAAACCTGCAGATGTGAGAAGAGAGGTGAGGGGTGTTTAGTGCTGTAGTGAGATGTAGGCGTTGCCCTGATACATGACAGTTGACCTCAGCCACGTATGTATAAGGACAAATGTAGGCATAAAAACACTCCAAGATTATATATCTCAGTCAATCAAGACTCTCTACATTAAACTTAGATTCAGACTAATTTAGATCAATTTAGAAAGAAAACTGCAAACGGCAGTATATGGTTTAGATGGAGGCAGAGACAGCATTCGTCTTTGCTACAAGTTAGTGGTAGGAATGACACTTACCTAGTATGTTCTCGTGCCTCATGAGGACTGTCTGGTAGATCTCGGTCTCTCTGAACCAGCTGGCCTCCTCCCGGGTGAAGAACACCTTGACGGCCACCTTCTCTCCCCGCCAGCGACCCAGCCACACCTCGCCGTAGCGCCCCTTGCCGATCTGACGCACCATCTGGATCTGCTTGGCAATGGTGCGCTGCACCTAAAATACACACCAGGGAGAGAGGCATTGAGCATATATATATCAGATCAAGAGTAGCTTACCACAGATCATACCTACTACAACCTTTACTATTTGTTCGTTCTTTTAGGTGGTATTTGCTGTTGCAAGCCAGACATTTTGCTTCCTAAGGCCTGTGATGTGTTATAATTAAGCAATAAGGCCCGGGGGGGTGTGGTATATGGCCAATATACCAAGGCTAAGAGCTGTTCTTAGCACGACACAATGCGGAGTGCCTGGATACAGCCCTTAGCCGTGGTATATTGGCCATATACCACAAACCCCAGAGGTGCCTTATTGCTATTATAAACTGGTTGCAAACGTAATAAGAGCAGTAAAAATAAATGTTTTGTCATACCCCCGTGGTATATGATCTGATATACCACGGCTGTCAGCCAATCAGCATTCAGGGCTCAAACCACCCAGTTTATAATTTACAATTTCACTTAACCTACTATAACCTAGCTATGGCCAAAGACACACACAAAACTGCAGTTACACTTTCCTGGAAAGCAGAAGTCACATTTTGAGCAGCCTATTATATAACCATAGCCAAAGGCTTTTCACCCAGGTCACATGCTCCAAAGCCCCTCCCTGTGCAGTGTGGGGTCCTTACCAGCAGGGGGAGCCCAGAGCCACTGCCAGATGACTGGCACTGGTTGATGAGGTCTTTGAGAGACTCTCCCACAGGGATGAAGGCCTCGTCCTGCTCCAGGTCCCGATGGTACCGCTGCCGCTCCGTCTGCCACTTGTACCTGACAGGAACACACACAGATCAGTACAGGGCACACATGCTAAAGCTACAATAGATGAATGACAAGCGCAGTAATGTAGCAACAATCTGACTTTATTTTTTTCATATGCCATTTAGCAGACGCTTTTATCCAAAGCGACTTACAGTCATGCGTGCATACATTTTTGTGTATGGGTGGTCCCGGGGATCGAACCCACTACCTTGGCGTAACAAGCGCCCTGCTCTACCAGCTGAGCTACAGAGGACCAAACAGTCCTACTTAGTCACAAACCCATGAAAGTATTCATAGAAATGCTAACTGACACCAACAGGTGACTGACTTTGATTCTACCACAAGTTAGGTTAACCAGGACTCAATTCCCATATACATATGGAAAGAAAGTTGGAATCTCGATTTGTGTAAGCTCTTCTCTGCAGTAGTCCTACCTGTAGTAACAGACTACCGTGATGCAGATGAGAGTGCAGCAGCATACAGTCATTGATATAAGGAACGCCAGCCAGTGGGCACTGCCAAAGTAGGAACCTGCAAAACAACCCGAGTCCCCAAATGAAATTAAGTCTCAGACCCTGATATACCAGCTCAAGAATACCCTACTGGGGCCATTATACAGAGGAACATAGTTGGCCCTAAGCCTCACCAGTGTCCATTGGGGGAGGTAACGTGGGCTGCAGGTCCCGATTACAGAAGTCCGTCCCACAGCATTCGATCGTTCGCCTTGTCTGAGCCTTGGGAGAATCCTGAAAAAAAAGAAGAAATGCAACCATGTTTGTTGTTGTTGTGGTACTCAATTCAACAGGGGTTCTTCAAAAAGAATTGTTAACAACAACTAAAATATAAAATAGCTATATACACATATAATAACAATATTCTAAAATGTTACAACATATAATTGACACCCCTGTGTCACGGTCCCTCCATCCAGACAACACATGCTTACCTTGCATTGAAAATGTGAGCCTTCATACTTCATGCAGCCAGAAGTCAGAATAGCTTCTCCATTATCGTCCTCCTCTATGATGGCAAAACATTGGCCATTCGTCCTGCAATAAAAACATTCAAGGAGTACGGTTCCCAAACACACTTACGCCTCGATCACACCTACACCGTCATTGTGCAAAATGGCACGCAGCATCATCTGGATATGTGTGCAACAAAAGTACAACATTCACCTTCTGCTACCATTTCTGTCAAGCCGTCTACGCATACAATTTGATGCATACGTTCGATAAATCCAACGCATGCACCACACAGAACGCACTGCAACTGCCTCTGCAACACAATGCTGCAAGGCAAACTAATCGTTCCATTGGAAATTAATGTACTTCTGGTGTACAAAAACGCAATGACGCTGTGATCGAGGTCAGCGTTTTGACCAAAACTTCCATTGACATTCATCACAGACCCAACAGTCAGAGTTGGAACAAACATATCAATTAAGAATTTGGCCTTGGTTGGTCACTCACTCGCAGGTGTTATTTTTGTGGTCCTCTGGACAGTGGCCCGAGCAGTAGCAGCTCAGAAAGCGGGCGGCGTCCTCTGGGGCCACCGTGGAGTCGTCCCCGTGCTTCCTGGACTCATGCTTGTGCCCGGTGCCATGGAGCATGTGGTCTGGATTCTGACCAGCTGGATGGACGGAGGGAGAGAGAGAAGGGAGGTAGAGAGGTTGGGAATAGACAGAGTAGGAAAAATAGTTTGGTTTTATAATGACAATGAAAATGTCACAATCCATAATGTTTTCCCTCCATCTGGGAGACGCTGTCGGCCCTCGCAAAAACAGGTTTTCACTGCACACATCAATGTTGTCTTAAATACAGAACATATAAATACATTGTGTAACATTATTTTCATTCCACCGCCTAACAACATCTGTAGTCAAATACGAGGCTATATATTCATCGTAAACACATCAGTCCTATGGTGGGGTTTATTTATCTGCTGTCCTGCCCTCTATTAGTTTATATATGAGAGGGGTCTGGTCTGGTCCTAATTGTGTGCTCATGTGATGAGTCTGATCCATATATGGCCAGAGGGCTATTTATACTGTGTACTAGTGTCCAGTCAGAGCCATCACATGCATGAGTGTAAGCTAAGCGGAATACTGGAGGGCCAAGCCCAACCTCTGTTGTTCTCTCAGCAAAACATTATCACTGTTGTCAATCTGATTGCAATTACATATGAAATTGAAAACAACAGTGTGGTTTAATGGAGGAAAATCTAATATTCATGCAGGCCATTATGTTGTGGTTCTTTATAATGGCAAGGTTTAGGACACAGCAAATGTTCACTGCTAAAATCAGTTTACGCTGGTTAAACTAGCCGAGAGCGCACTGCCAGGACTCCGGCAACAAATCTACTGATATCTTAAGGAGCCAGTCAGAGCCATTAAGATTAGATGCATGGCACCATGGATCCAAAGCCAGGAAGAGGCCATTTTACAGAGCAGCACACTAATATTACGTTAAGTCCCTTATGTTGCATTAAATGTTGTGTATGAGCTCACTGTGTGACTCCTCCTATCCTCACGTTACTGTCTGGTACTCCCTCCACCTCTTCTCATGCCCTTTCTCCTGATCTCTTTTCCTCTCCTCCTTCAATGCCCTGACTTTCCTTATCGCTCCACCTCTTGCTCGCTTCTTTTTTCCCCACAGGCATTTTGCTTCTCCGGTCTGTTGTTCCTCTATTGTCCTTCTTGTTCCATATTCTCCTGTTCTTGACTTCTACCTCGTCCTAGCCCCTCCTTTCTCTTCCCCTCCCCCACCCCATTTCTCTGCCCCTTACTTATTTCCCTACCCCCCTCCCCGTCTGCCTTTTTCCCTATTCACTCGCTCCAATACTCTTCCCCCCCCCCCCCCCCCCGCCCCTCAGGAGAGTGGACATGGGCTGAGGGGCTCCTGTGAGTCGTGAGCATAAAGTGATGTCTGTGTGCGGCACTCGGCGCGGCTTCGGGGCACTTCCTCTGGAGCATGACGTGACTCGAGCCTGCTCCAGTTCAGACATGTCTGCAGAGAGCCAATCACCTGCAAACATACACTTTTAAACGTCTCGGCAGCAGAACGGCACCCCTTTTTTTTTTCTCTCCCTGCTGCTTGTCTCCATCTCCGCATTCCTTCCCTAGACCCCATTACCGGATTCAGGGTTGTTGTTCATGTTTTCCTCAGTTTTTTTTCCCTTCGTTTTACAACCGAGTGCCCTGGTGGTTCTAGATTGAGGCTGCATTCTATGAGTAATTCTATTGGTAAATTACTATTTAAAAGGAGACCCTGAGAGATAAAGGGGCTTCTGTTAGGCTTCAGTTCCTTTTTACAGTTAATTTGTACGCTGATCATGTACGTAGAGACTCCCTGGCTTACTGACGTCAGACAGCCTAACAGTCGACGAAGACTACTACTTCTACGAACGCTTCACTTTTAATGTTGTACTTCAGCCAACAGAATTTCCCAAATAAATTATGGAACCCCAGAGGGTGGCAGACAAAAATGTGCCAGTCATAACTTCGTTTTGGGATCCTTTAGAGTCAAATGAAAGCCAAACACTTACGCAAACACATAATAGCTGTATCAAAATAAAAGCAACCATTAGGCCTCTATATTCTACATTTCACCAATTAAAGCAAAGCAGACCATAACTCTTCAGTAATATTTTATGGGTACAGAATAGACAACCAGGCAAGTGACTCACTACAGTCCTCATTAAAGGTGTCAACACTAAGGTCACATCACTAGAGCAGATTTATGAACCCAATCAGAGCAGAGAAAATCACTGTGGCAGGGGGTTGTGAGTTCATAGCCGTATGCTAGAACTGGGGTCCTCTGGGCATAGAACAAACACAAATCTGTTGTACAAACAAGGGGGGCAGGGGCTATCGGTGGCAACACCCTGAAAAAATAAAGAGGCCTGAGCAGTTCTCCAGTGAGATAGCAGAGCCGGCCTCAGAAGCTGTGAAACCGTGGCTTTGATGTCTGCCTTCTATCAGTGAAGAGGAAAATGACACACCGATTACAGAGTTCCAACCAAGCACTCTGACCAACACCCTCCTGGGGGGTGGGAATAAACTCAGTCTCTCAGATTCTTCGCTCTACATCCGTCACAAGCACACACACCAGATCCAAAGAAAAAGCTCCCAAAAGAAGGCAGATAGTCTAGACCTCTTACCATTGATATTACACACAGGAGATTGAATCGAAATAATATCTGAAATTGTTCCACTAATAAACTACACTTAAGTGGTGGCATGGCCCAGGGCCCAGTTTGAGCTGGGCAGTCCCCTGGCGATGTCAGATTGGCACAGAGCAGTGTTGGGAGGCAGTGTGGAAACTTATAAACACACAGCAGACTGGAACCAGATCAAACGGGCCAAGCCCCAAATAGAAACCAGATAGCTGAGGGTAGATTACTCTCTTTCTCCCTCCCACACTCTTTCTCCTTCTCTCCCTCGCTCTCCCTCTGGGAGCTGTGCTCAGTCTCGACTGGCTTGAGTCATGTTTGAGTGATGGGGAAAGGGATTCAGGAGGCTCCTGGATGCTTTGATGAGGTGATGAAAGCCTCTTTGACAGTCCCTGAGTAAGCACATAAAACTCTGACACGTTTTTACTGCAGTCACTGGGAGCGTCGAGGACTTCTGAGGCCTCTCTCTCACTGGATTGAGTCTACAGAGAAAGCCATGTTGACAATACAAGATTTAATGTTCACCATCAAACCCCTAAAGAGCCTCAAGGCCCTTTTTGTTTCTATTTGGCTGGGCCTCGCTAGCAAAGACACGGAGTACCTCTCTTCCCCTCTACTAGGAGGCCATTGATTGGCTGGGGGCCATGATTGATGGAGAGCAGCGGCTGTCAGTGGGGCTGGAAATGGCTGCTGGTGCTCTCTCTGCCTCTGCCTCCACATGTGTGCTTAATTCTGCCGCCAGTCACGGCGGAGTCTGAGGTCTGGCAGAGCACCCCCAGTAATGAGCCTCTCCATCTCCAGTCAGCCACATGTTGCACTCTTAAAGGGCCAGCACACTGCAACGCTAACGAGCCAATCCATCTACCAGCAATGGAATGCAGGGCTCTTAAAAGGCCAGCAGCAGAGCCTGTTTTTGTCAGAGCCAGCCATAAGAGTGCAGCGACACGAGCTAAACAGTGTTCTGAACTGGTTGTTCTTCTAACAGGACACAGTGTGGAGGTGAGGGGAGTCATATGTCATATACCTGCATACAAACACAGTCACTAAAACCTGCCCTCTCCTAAAGTCTCAGGCGAGAGAAAGTGAGTAAGTGTGTGAGTGAGAGAGAGAGAGAAGAACAAGTGAGAGAGAGAAAATGAGAGCGCAAGGAAAAAAGAAAGATCAGTTCACAGCAACAAATCCTAGAGACGATCAACCTTTCCCTCTGACCTTGGGGGGGAATCTGGACGGGGAGAGAAAGCTGCCTGAAATTATAACTCGAGGTGGGTGAGTCGGCGAGAAAAGGAGAAGTATGGAGGTATTAGCTGACAATTATATACAGCGGGGTCCGAAATTACTGACTCTTGATAAAGATGAGCAAAAATCACTGTATAAAATAAATAATTATAATACTGAGCTATATCGTATTCTCCCAAAAAACTGGAAAATTATATTATTTATACTAATACCCTCGCTCAGAGAAATATATTTTGTTTAACAAGTTGTAAAACATTCTCAAAAAAGGTAGGGGTCCAACATTTTGGCGCCCCTGTTTTCAATATGAGGATAACGGCACTGAGCCTTTTTCTAAAAGGTTTTATGAGTTGGAGAACACGTTGGGAGGGATCTTAGACCATTCCTCCATACAGAATCCTTCTAGATCCTTGATATCCTTAGTCTGCGTTTATGGACTGCCCTCTTCAATTCAAAACAGGTTTTCAATGGGTTCGGTTCAAAGTCCGGAGACAGATGGCCATTGCAAAAATTAGATTTTGTGGCCAATTAACAATTTCTTTGTGGATTTGATGTGTGCTTGGGGTTAATGTT